CAAATGCGCACAAAATTCACAAACGCACACACAAAATTTAAAAAGCACAGAAGATTCACGAACGCATACAAAGTTCAGAAATGCACACAAAATTCAGAAATGCACACACAATTCAGAAATGCAAACAAAATGTACAAATGCACACAAGATTCAGAAATGCACAGGACAAGTTTCACAAATGTATTTCTGATGCGCACACAACTATATGTTGATTTACAAACTGCTTGCGGTCTGTGAGCTTCACGGCATTTGTGTGAATTTTGAGACTCCCCTGACTTGGCTCGACACACAAATGCCTTTTTTTTAAACAGGAAATGATCTGCAACAACCAATCAGATATCTCCCTTGTTTTAGCCAATCACAAGAACGCACCCTCGTGGGGGATTGTTTACTTATACGCCAATCACATGAACGCGCTCATACAGCGCTATGTGCATAGAGACCATAGACTGTAAAAGAGACAGAGCGTATTTAGGCCACGCCCCCACCAGGGGGGGAAAACAATCCAACTGTCTCCATTGACTTTTGCATTGCGAAAGGCAGCCTCCTTGTCATTTATGAAATTTCTGAATTGTGTGTGTATTTATGAATTTTGTGTGCATTTATGAATTTTGTATGCCTTTGTGAATCTTCTGTGCTTTATGAATCATGTGTGTGCATGTATGAATCCTGTGTGTGCATATGTGAATGTAGTGTGTACATTTATCTTTATTGAGACTCTTTTAGCTCCATACATGGAGGCTTTTATGCACCTGTACCAGAGCACCACATTACTTTGAGCCCTGCAGGTTTGTGCACCAATCATAACTGAAATGAGAATGGCTTTTAAAAATTCAGATTCAGTAAGTGAATTTATAATAAATATGAATGCAAAAATCACAACTTTGAATGTAAAATAGAATCAAAATGAACTGAAATTCAAAACAATTTTTACTTGAAAAGCATTTTTAAAGGCAATATTTGAATGTTAGCACGACAAAGTCTTGTTTGAAAGATTTGTAAAAACAAAAATAAATAAATCAGACAGACAGATAAAGACAGACAAAAACCATATGCAGTTAACAATCAAATTAGTCAAACTAGCCAAACTCTACTTAGACCACCCCTTCATACACTAAAAACAGTTCCGCCATCAGGGCCTCCACATTAACCAAAGCCTGGCTGCAGGCTCTTTCCACCCCCACCCCTTAAAACTCAGAGGAATTTGGGAAGGCAGAAGATCCAGCGCAAGGGTTGAGGCATGCGGCAGCCCCGAGAACGTGCACTGCTGGGGGGCCAGCTTCGCCACAGAGGCCAGCAGGCCTCCCACACCAAGGCCAGCCAAGGGTTCCCATCACCACAAACCTTCCCTAATCTGCTAATATAAGACTCCTAAATATAGAACTGCAGCATGGAGTATACCATTTATAATAATGTCTCCTTCTGATTTTATCTGTTGCCTTTTTCTTGGAAAATCTTGGAAAACCTGCTAAAAAGACTGGAAGGCAAGTCAAACACAGGAAGGTTTTATCTATCTTTAGTAGGGTATTTTCTTTCACCTCTATATTCTTCACATTTTGAAATGTCAAATTACAGGAAGGCCACTTAAACGCAGTGTTTGAGATTGACAATTGATTGTGTCTGAAGTCCAGTTCTTATGTCATATCTTACGTACATACATCATATCCATCCTATCCTTCGATGTCATCCTTCAAATGTTTTTGCTATATGTACAACATGACATCATGACTTTGCGTAAACATACACGCCACTTTCAATTCAAGTGGCGTGTTATCTATACGCATTTTGAGCTATCCGCGTGTATGTCCACGCCGAAATCTTTTGCGTGTATGTCTACGCCATTAAACGTCCGAGTGATTCCGCGTGTATGTGTACGCCGTTAAATGTCCGAGCGAAACGAAGCAAAATCTATATTCTACATCTGTGGAGCGATATTTCTTTTCCTAGGATGGTAGGAGAAGACTCATAAATGGTATTAACCCCAGTGACGGGTAGGTTTAGGGACGGGGTTGGGGTAGGTCATATATTTATATGTACATAATACAGTAATATAACGTTAAGTCAAAGGCGTTGATAAACACGCTGAAAAGCGATTATGCGTGTTGATAGCACGCCAAAAATGGAAATACGAATTGGCGTGTCATACATACGCCATTTCATGAGATCAGTCTGATATGTACATTCATTTTGCATATAACAGATGAACCCACTCTGAAAATTCAGCCATGACACCATAAAATTCCAGGTAGGCATTTTGGTTGAAGAATTGTAACTCTGCTTCATAACCAAACACAACCGTATTTCACACTCCAAACAGCAGTGTCAACCATATCTCCCTGCTATATGACTGTGGCTGAAGAGTAAAGATTAATGCAATAATGAATGCGAACGTCTGAGATTTAAGTCGTTCGTAACGTCATCCTCCATCCATCCTCTTATTCCTCTCTGTCTAAAGCACTTTGAAGCATAATTTGGATGTCCTTTTCTTTTTGTATTCTTGTCTTTTCAGATAGGAGAGTGAATCCAGGTTCCAGCCTCTCACCAAAACCCCTCCCAGAGCTTCCGGACCTTTTCGTTGTCTATCTCCAGAAGGATTGACCTGCAGCCCCATCCCAGGACCCGGGAGACCGGGACACAAACGGGCCCTTCAGGTTGATTTATCGGGCGTATTCAGGGCCAGGCACGCAGAGGGACAGAACAGTTCTGACGTCTCTGATCACCAGAACAACCCCTTTAAAAAGCCACCTCTTGAGAGAAGTATGCACCTCTACCGACTTCGGATGGTATTGAAATTATAATAACAATAACAGTATTAATAATGAAAGATATCTTTGTAGAGAGTCATGCATCATGACAGCTCAAAAGCAAAACATGACATTAAAAAAAACCAAAATGGCTATTTTGTTCATTCTTTTCTTCAGCATCCTCTTTTCTCCTCTCTTAAAAAAAAACAAAACAAAGCAAAACCACACAAGCGCCTTCATGGTGAAGTCAGGTTTAAAAAAAAAAAAAACTAAACTAAATGGAAAACAAGTGGCACTGCATCATGATGGCAGGCGGGACAAAACGGAATTGTTTTAGTGGAAGAAAGAGCTATCTGTCACTGTCTGTCAGCTCATTCATCCAGTACTCCCTGAGCATCCAGCCCATCTGTCATCCCCTCTCAGTCCCTGACACCCGCCCAGGTTGGCCACTTCGGCAACAAGGGAAGGGGTCCCAAATATGGACCCTTATAACCCCACTATTATTGTTTCCCTCTAGATCTCGGAATTGACAAACACGCATACGCTACATACTTCTTACCAGACGTTTTGTTTTACTTTCATTTGACGTGTCCCAAAAAAAACCCCAACTATTTATGTTTAATACAACTGATGCATGACCTGATACAATATATACATTTTGTCTTTTGAGGTTGAGGTTTTTGCCAACTTTATTTTATTTTTATTTTAGAAAATATATAATACAAAAAGATTGAATAGATATAATACAAATGGATTGAAATTGAACTTGCATCTACCACATGAGCATCACTTACTAGAGCTGGGGGAGAAAACTAATTCATCGATGCATTGTGATTCTTTCTTTAAAAATTGTGAATCAATTCCCAAAATGTAAGAATAGATTTAGCTTCAGTTAGATGTACAAACACTAACTCAATCGCTTAGCTGTTGTTTGCAGTATGCAAGACCTGCCACACAGGACTGTACATGAAAGCCACAATGTTGCAAAAGAACAACCTTCAACAAAGAATATTCCAAGCTTTTGTTTGTAGCTTTTTCATGCTGAATTTAAAGAGTCACTTAATATATGTTATATAATGTATAAGAAAATCAATTTCAATGGAGCTTCAACGGGCTCTACACGATCCCAGCCGAGGAATAAAGGTCTTGTCTAGCGAAATGATCAGTCATTTTCTAAAAATAAAATAAAACTGTATATACTTTTTAACCACAAATTCTCATCTTGCACTAGCTCAGCGATGCACGTCCACAACGTGGGTCTGTACTTCCGCCTACTTCACGCATGACCTTTCCAACATGACTACGTAATGAGTGAAGTCGTGGACATGCATCGCAGAGCTAGTACAAGACGAGCATTTGTGGTTAAAAAGTATAAAAAAAAAGAATAATAATAAAAAATTGAAAATCGCAGATCGTTTTGCTAGATAAGACCCTTATTCCTCAACTGGTATCGTGTAGAGCCTTTTAAAGCTGCATTGAAACTGCAATTTGGACCTTCAACCCGTTGGTCCCCGTTGAAGTCCACTATATGGAGAAAAATCTTGGAATGTTTTCCTTAAAAACCTTAAAACCTTTGAATTGTGAGGTGCTTACAAATAGTCTCAACATAGGTTACATGTCTGAACTTAAAGTATGCGTGTTAACTGCTAGGCTACGGCTCTGACAACATAATATTGAACGTTCAAATGAACTGCAGTAACAAAATCGATTCTGTGCATCCAAAGTACTATCAAAATGTCCTCTAAACAAAAACAATAGGGATAAAAGAATAATAACCTTGGAGTGTTGTCTTTCTGATTGAAAAATCACCTTGATGTTCTTCTCAGTGTGTTTCAGTTTTGGTTTTTCAAACCAGAGCAATGGCACAGGCCAACGTTTTCTATCAGCGGCTCCAGTTCCGCAATGTTCAAGTGTGCAGAGGTGCAAATAGGATAAGATGACTCCTAAAGAACCATCTAAAAAAATCTTACCTTAAACCAAACAATGGTAAATACAAACCACCCGAAGGTGAATATCAGACCGGGCCTTGAGACCAAAGATATGAATACAAACACACACAGACTCACACATTGGCGGAAACCTTCAAACAAAACTAAGGCTAGCGTGGAGGTTTAGGGGGTTGGGTTTGACAGTAGAGGGGAAAATAAGAGAAAGAAGGGGGGGGGGGGATGTTGAGGGGTAAACAGGGGAAAACAGAAGAAAGGGGAAAGAAGAATGAAAGAAAAGAAAAAGGAGTGGAAAAAAACAAAGACTTACTTGTCTCAAGTCGATGAAGGCGAGCAGCAGAGTGTCCCCCTGGAAGCCAGGCACCGGGCCGGCCCTGGCAAACCCTGTGGGAAAGAGAGACGGATAAAGAGAGCAGGGAATTCGCCATGGAGCGGGAGATTGGCAGACGGATGACAGCCGGGACAAGGGGAGGACAGGGGGAGGTTCAGTGGGGGCGGGGGAGGTGAAATGGAAGGGGGCTTTGAAGGTTTTGGGGGTGCTGGCAGAGGGGGTGGAGGGTTTGTTGGGTGGTTCAGAGCAGAGTCATGTCTCTCGGTCTGCCACCGGCTTTGTGCGGCCCATTCGGTGGAAAAAATCATCATCAAACTCTCATTAATTCTCCCCAACGTTGATCTGACAAGCCAGATAGAGGGGCTGTGTGGGGAGAGGGGGCAGCCTTTACCCCGTAACCTGAGGCCTGACGGCGATTCCCATGAGGCCGCTCTCCCAGACCAGTGGCGTGGTACTTAGCGAAGGGGCCGACAACACTTGTGAAAAGCCAATGGGCTGGGGGTGTGTGGGGAGTGCAAGAGTTGTAGAGGTTTCTGAGGGCCATTGGACCTTTCTGTGCCTTTGGACGGGAACCCGTAAACAAGCGGCTTCACCATTCTGAAAAACGGAACATTTGACATGCGGAGACAAAACAAGCCGGGGCCAGAAGAAATCCCTTTCACCTCGTGATGCTGCGTGCCTTTCTTGCCTCTCACGCAAATTACACGCCTGCCATCTTTATTTCTGACCCCCGCAAACGCTGAGCCAGCGACTGCTTACCCTCGCGCTTTTGTTGCTGCGTCTCAGCCCGAGACTATGTCGATTTTGCGAACTTCCCCATTCGCCTTTTTACAGGAGAGAGACCTGCGGCAAAGGCGGCATGGTTTACGTGACGCGTGTCAGAGCACATCTCATCAAGATTCAAGAACAGGGACCTCTAGGCTTTCACCTAACTGCCACATTCCAGTATAAAGCCCTGTTACTGACTACACTAAGAAACCTCTCAAGGGATAAGCAAGGAAATGCTGTCAAGACCTTTATGCTCCCCAAAACCAGCTGAACTGAACAGGAAGCAACTCTTGACGCCCTCTCCCTTTGAATGTCCAATCGCTCGCTCCTGGTGTTGTACAGGTCAAAGAGGCGCAGCAGACATGAGAGAGGCCAATGTCAGTTTAACAGAGCCTCTTGTGGGCTCGAGATCATAATGCAGTGGTATAATGACTGATAACATTTAATTGCAAAAAGTGATTAGGAAGCATTCTAGTATATAATATGACTGATTATTATTATTATATATAATTATTATAATAATATGACTGAATGTCCAGTTGTACCTGAAAGTACCCAAATGGCCAATTTTACCCCAAAATACCCCATCATAAAATAACAGATTATGAAACGCAGTAACACTTTACAATAAAGTTAAATTTCTTAGAAGCATTAGGTATTGTGAACTAATAATGAATACACTATTGTTATTTTTAAACCCAACTATAGTTTAATTAAACCCTGCTAAGACTTAAGTAAACTCTTTATATAATCTTGTTAGACCCCTTCCTCAACTTCGAATGCTAAAACTGCTTTATACCCACTCCATAATATGGGGTTCAACATATTATATAACAGCCCCTCCAATTAGGGGTACAGCTTGTCATTAGTGTATTACACTGAAAGGGACATTTTTGTACCTACCCCTATAAGGTTTAAAGTACCTTAAGGAAAAATATTATTACTCTAAGGTTTTAATGTGCATGTTTTAGGGGTACAAAGTTGTCCCTTTTAGGGTACTGCCCCAGTGACGAGCTGTTGTACAATTTTTTATGACAGTGAAACCATCAAGATGTTTGTCCACACCTTCAACACTACACATCACGACTATGTTATGACCTTCTTCTTTCTAAAGTTATTTCCAGACTTCAATACATTCAAAACGCAGCAGCCAGAGTACTCACCTGCAATCCACAGTTTACCCATATTCAACATTACACATTAAAAAAAAATTGGGGCCTGCTTATGATCAAGCTTTATGCAAAGACATATATTTTCCAACCCTTCTGAAACTCTCTAAACTGATCCTCATCGTACCTTCATATCTCCCTCCCTCTCTATCCCACAGCGCAGACACTTCCAAACTGTTGATAGATTGAACCACAGACACATCATCTGTGCATTCAAGTGGTTACATCTTTAAGAAGTTATTATGTCCTAAGACCCATCCTGGAAACTTCCAAAAAATGTAAACACCTCATTCACCAAGTCTCAAACGGAATGAGTGTATGAGTATGGGGGGGGGGGGGGGGGGGGGGGGGATTTGAGGTTTACAAATAAACAGGGGGTCTCTAAAAATGAAAGCAATCACTGGTAATCACAGGCTGCCTGGTAAACCAAAGCAAACCACAAGAAAAAGGTGTCATACAGTGTAACTGATGTGACCGCAATATGACTGGAGTTATTTTCTCTCCCTCTCTGTGACCTATGTACGAAACCATGCTCTGGCTGAGGATTCAAGGGAATTCCATTAACCATACAGGGTTAGGTGCTCAAAGGCAGTTTCATCTGTGGTCACACGCAAAGCCGTGAGGAGATGCTAGCCAAAAATGCATATCCTTCTCTTCTCACCTTTTCCTCTAACTTTCAGCTTAGTTTTCCAGAAAGTCACATGGGTGTCAAATAAGAAGTTAGTTACAGCAAACACAGCATTGTGGCTTGATTAAAAGTCTCCAGTAGGATTCGTGAAATTTTAAATTGGGCCACACCAGGATGAAGTACAATCATGCAATCAGGTTTAAGGATGATTATGAATATGTCACTGAGCTTTCACTTAAACTTACTCTCACACTCTTTGACGTCCACGTTGAACTGCTGCAGGGCTCCCATAGACACTTGCCTGACATCAGCCTCCAACAGCAGCTGCAGCAGGGAGGTGGAGAGGTGTTTACAGGCTGACATACATGCCGTCTGAGCCACCTTCCCCTAGAGAAAGAAGGACAAATGAGAGAGAAAAACAAAGAAGTGTGAGGTTCACATACTGAGTATCTTTCAAACAGTATAACCCTCTCCAAAAGGTGGTAAAACTATGGACATTTATTTGAATTGTTTACATGTTTCTCTCCTCCCTGTCCCTGTCCAACTGAATATCATCAGATAATCCTTTCATTCTCTCGATAGTCAGAATCTGCAGCATTCTGGTCTCTAATATAGTCTCCATGAGCACACACAAGAAACACTTTTCATATTGTATTTACAACCACAAGAGTCAATGCTTACATGCAATCTCACAGACATAAAGAGGGGAGCTTAGCAGCACTATGGTGCATATTTATGCAGGTAGAACCACAGTGCTGTTTAAACATCAACACACGTTCACGGTCACACACGCTGATACACACACAATTCAAGCTCCAAGCCGAAAACCTCAAATATGCCCTTGTCTGCCGTCCAGCGCCTTCCTGACAATCAGGCTAATACTTCAGGGGAGATCCAAAGCTATTAATATGACACTAAACCTGAAAGAAAACAGCAGACTGGAGGGCCAAGAGTCCATGTGGGATTTTTATCTGATGGGGTAAAAAAATAAAAACAAAACACCATTATACAAGAGGACTTCCTGCACATTGGAAACACTTGGGCAATAAATCTAGTGAAATGAAGGATGAATACACAGTAAATCCATATAAGAGAGAATGAGAGGTCTTTTTTTATCCCTTTTCTGTCCATGTGTGATGGGTAGAGAATGGAAGGAAAAACAGAAAGCAATACAATGCCCTCTTTGCTTCAGTCATCTCATCCTTTCCTCTTCTTCCTCTGTCTCTCTCCATCTCACATGGTAATTCCACTGTAGACTTTTCTTAAATTAGAAGCCACTAGCATTAACTAACTAACTAATGCTCAGGTTCGGTCTCTGACAGCTTAAAAGCCTTAAGGACTGTGGTGGGGACAAATAAAAATAAATAAATAAAATATTATATAACCTAGACCACTTCTCAACTAACTGCAACTTTTCTAAACCACATCTATCCAACTATTCCAAGGTTGTTCATTACATTAACTATGGACACGTTTCACTAAGTGACATGTTTTGCACTTGTGCTATCCATCTTTTTACCAAATTAAAGGCACTTCGCTATTAAGTTTTCGAATGCAATGAACTTCATAGAGTTAAGAGTGTCTTAAGTTTCTAAATACTTTTCGGGGTCACTGTACGTTGTGAGCACAAGATCTAACTGCAGCAGCACAGCCCCGACATAAGGTTGTTCTTACAGAATCAGAGGGCAAGGACTGGGGAGGGTTGGCGTCACCACAACATCAGCTGGCCATATGGCTGTGAACTTCACTTCAGCTTCTCTGTAAACAGTCATATAAAGTATAAAGTACACACAGGCACCTGACCGACAAAGACCTGAATGGTTCAGGTCAGGTGGGGTCAACAGGAAAAGCTCTCCCCTCCTCTCTCATTCCAAAAAGAGGATGGAGGCGTGTGATTGTGTCCTGTGTGGGGTCAGGCCCCATGTGAAATTGCTATAATCCATCTCCACCAGCTTCTGAAATACCTATGGCCTATTTGTTAATCTACAGTTGGCATGGATATAATGAGTAGAAACGGTTTTGTGCGTTCAACGTGACACTTAACATATAACGTAGCACAACTACACATATGCACACACATTGCAGTCATATTCAGTCAGCCACTAATCAGGCTGAAGCACTAACTAGGTGATTATAGATGATTAGAGTGCATGCACTGCACTGCAGTGATTAAAAAATAAACACACTTGTTTTCCGGACTCCTGTCTCTGTATGTTTAATAGCCATAATAAATCACAGAGGCCAAAGTAGTAAGGGTTGTTTCTGTTCCTCATGGTGGAATGAAGACACACACAGGTACCTGTCTCCTACTGGGTAAATTCTAATCACTCACGAGTCATTTGGTCTGATTGGAGTAAGGCGTTTGTAAATATGGTGAGCATTGATTTTTTTACAGCAAATAGAGTCATGAGCAAGGATTGCACAATCTGGGCAGGGGTGAATAGATTCTCTATTTACTTATATTGATATATCTGTATTCGTTTATACGTGCATTCATATTTTCTGCTGCTTAATTGAAGCATAATAAAACTTTTGAAACCCACATTCATGCTGGACAAAAGCAAAGAAACCACGTAAGAGAGACTGAAATTGATTGATTTATAATTCAGTTTTTATCCAAAGCAACTTATAACACTATATTATACAAGAAAACAAGTAGTGTGCTACCACACCAAATTTCAACTGAGAACTCCAAAGCACTTGCAGAAAAGTGGAAACACTCACAAAAGACCAAGCCTGTCCGTTTCCACTTTTCTATAATATATATATATATATATATATATAGATATATGCAAAATATTTCTTTTTAATGACCCTTCAGGATCAATTAACCAATCAAAATATGAGAAGAATGATATATTGGGAAGATTAAACTTGGTTAAGGTAAAATGGCAAAATTATTTGGCAAGAAAGGCAATCTCCAGCATATCATGGAATATGGGTATTATAGTATTATGCAAAAGAAAATGCATAGAAAAACAAAAAGCCCACAATAAATACAGAATACACTGACTACAATGTAATCAGTTTTTCATATTTTGTTGGTTCTTTTTTTTCCATTACAGCAGCCATTCTCCTGGGTATTGACTTTGCGCATGTGTCGTGCTTAACTTCTTTCCAATCCTCCTTAAATTCTTCTCAAAGTTGAGCTTCATTGGAAGACCTGTATGACTTATCACAATTCAGGGTTTATAATATCCCAAAGGTTTTCAATGGCTTTAAGGTCAGGGGACTGAGGAGGCCACTTGAAGACTACAAAATGCTGAGCATGAACACTTATTGCTCACAACTTTGTTGCATTCGTGGTGCGTTTGGGATCGTTTTCATGTTAGAAAATACATGTTTGCTCTCCAAACAGATCCTCCATACTTAGTGTTCAGCAGGATTCCCAAGTATTAGTCCATTTTCAAAGAGCCAGCAACTTCAAACACCTGCTGCAGACATGGGTCCCCAATACTTGTCAGACTGCAGAACATGGCTCCAATCTGCCATACTCCAATCTTTATGTTCTTTGGCAAATATAAGGTGTTCTTTTTGTTTTCAGTTGATAAAACTAATAAATGCTTTCTTTGCTGTTATACAACCTCTCAATCCAGCGTCTTGTAGCTGTTGGCTTACAGTTCAAGATGAAATTGGAGGTTTCTCACAATTGCACGTTTTATCCAGATCTTTAGAAGCTGTTTTGAGGTGGTCCCACATTCAGGTGATTTTCATCCTTCTGTCAAAATGCTCACCAGCCACAACACTTTACATTCTGCATGGTAGTGGTCTCACTGTGCTTTGAAATAATTCTGTTGACATTGTGACCATTCACATCCAGCACGAGCAATATCCAAAAAACGATTGACCAAATGTAAATGTTTGCAGAGGAAAGTTCCTTCCATTTGGCCATTTTCACTAAACCCCATGTATGTATACATGTATGGTTGAATCCCGGCTATATGTATAAATCTGAACAGATTAGCTACTTTCAACACTTAAAAGTTGGAGCCTTTGTTCAAAGATATGTGTTTAGGGCCTGATTTAAACAGTTCTGCTTCGTGTGGCACACCCCTCTCACAGTAGCACATTTGTTTTACAGTTCAGGGCAGGGGGATGTTAACAATTAGCTCAGGGGCTCAAAGGAGGGAGCGAAAATCAAAAAAAGGAAAAATAGGAAAGAGTGCAATGAGTGACCAGTTAGAGGCTGCTTGCACTCCTCCTCTCCAGTCTTCTCCAGTTAATTAAACAAAAGGCTCATCAAAGCCCTCATTAAAAAATACTCAACAGCAATTGGCTGTCAAAATAAACAGAACACACGGTACAGTGAGACAGACAGAGAAACAATAATAAAGCAAGAAACAGAGATAAAGAGGAGGAGGAATACAAGAACAAGGGGTTCTGGACACTGGGCCAAGGTTAGATTTCTTAATAACAATAACAATATGTTTGAAACGTCACAACACTTCTACAAATGACCCCAACACGCACCACATGCGGAGGACCCCTGAGAAAGCTCAGCATGGAGTGTGTAGGCTCTCTCAATGCACTCATATTTCAAACGCGCCGGCTTATTTATGCAACACACACCGATCCCTGTTTACAAAAACAACGAATGTACACTCACGACATCCTAACGAGAAGCAGAGACTATCGCTCGAGGAGAACTGATGCCTGTCTGCGCTGATTACACTCTGGTCGGAGGAAGGGTGATAATATGTGTTGAACTTCCCGACACCATGCAGCACTGTTCCAGCATTTCACAAACACAAAGGGAAAACAAAGACAGCAGGCCAATGAGTTTGGAGCTCAAATCAGGCTTCAAGTAAATAATGACAAATAGTGTTCGCCTTACAAGGTGCTTGATGATATTGATATGGAAGGGCTTCCTGTTACCTCAGGGTTTCCACAGCTACATTACAGAGGGCCAGGAAGCATATAAAAATATCCAACACACATTTTAACGCATTGCTTTGGAAATGAATAAAAGAGCTGTTGTAAAGGTTTTAATAAAAGCCAGGTAAAATTTTCCGAAAATCTGTGATAAAAATACCAACAGCAGTTGTGGCTCCCACTTTTTGCAAGGCTTTTCAAAGATTACCTGCTTGATTAAAATCCCTCATTCACACTACACGTGTTTTCATTCATCAAGTATTTTATGCAAATTTTGGAATATAGCATTAAAATGCTGGATGCTGGAACACTAAATGATAAATACTTTTCCAAAATTTGCATTAAAAATAATTTGAGGAGGATAAATGTTTTATTCTGTATGAAGACATCATATTTTGTTTAATCAAACAGATGAGATGGAATGTGGATTCTTTGTATGGATTGTTTTAGCAATTTTTAAAATGAAAGGTATAATTTAATGAAATTAAATTCAGAATGAAACTTAGATGGAAAAACACGTGATGACAGCGATTTGCAGCAACAAAGAAATCATACACTAATTTTCAAAAGTTTGTGGTCGGTAAGATTTTTTTTAATGTTTCTGAGAGAAGTCTCTTATGCTCATTTATTTGATCTATTTATTTTATACAGTAAAAACAGTTATATTATTAAATATTGTTGCAATTTAAAATAACTGTTTTCTATTTTAATATATTTATAAATGTAATTTAATCCTGTTATGGCAAAGCTGAATTTTCAGCAGCCATTACTCTAGTCTTCAGTGTCACACGATCCTTCAGAAATCATTCTAATAGGCTAATTTGGTGCTAAAGAAATATTTCTTATTGTTATCAATGATGATTTTGATAACAGTTGTGCTGCTTACTGTTGTGTGCAAACCGTGATACATTTTTTTTTTTTAGGATTCTTTAATAAATAATAAATTTATAAAGTTAATAAATTAATAAATAATAAAGTTAATAAAAATAAATAATAAATTAATAAAGTTCCAAAGAACAGCATTTATTTGAAATAAAAAAAAATTTGTTACATTATAAATGTCTACCGTACTGTCAAAAACAAAATTGTACTGACCCCAAACTTTTTAACGCTAGTGTAAGTGACTGACATTCAATGTTGGTGATTTAAGGCAACACGAGCAACGGCAACAATTGATGATGTGATGAAGCTGTACAGAGTTCAGCTTCCTTCAAATGTACAGCAAAGTAAACACGACTAAAAATGGGAGAGTTTGATACTTTCAAACAGCAACAATCAAGACTTTGAAACAAAACCACTTCCAAATTAAACAAAGCAAGCCAATTCTACTAGCAGATAGGGTGGACGTCTATGTTGTGGCTGCATCAGACACTACAAGATAAAGCTCCTCATTTGAGCTGCCACATTTTTAGAGTATTTTGCCAACATCAGCTCAATAATGACAAGTCAATGCAACAGAGACACACTGAATATTAAGCTTGCACACAAAGGTTTTATGGATCAGATAGCAAAAACACTCAAAATTTCTGCCGAAGAATGTCAGTCTATGAACAGACCACCATGTAGAAACAGAATGTTGTGGCAAAAAGGCAGCTCCACAATACAAAAGTGCTCTGCCAGTCATTCAGTTCCGTCAAGAAAAACTGTAAATTGCCATCATATGATGCTTTAAGTTGTCGGTTCACAGTTTTATACAAACATCTACTGTCGCACTTTAAGAGGATTGTTTACTTTGCATCTAAATCTACGTAAGGTAACATTATCGGTGCAAGGCACACAAAAATCTCACCAATTAATATCTGAATTTTATGGTAGAAGTCTACAAACAAATACCAAGAACCTAAGGGACAAAAAAAGCACTACTGTCACAGCTTCAGACGCCTCATTTGTGTTCCATAACAAGCATTAAAATGCATCCAAACATCTATGAGTAGGTCAGATGAACACCAGGCAGCATGCGGAAGTACTGTGACGAGAAATGGCCAAGGTTATTGCTGAAGTTAGACCACACTGCAAACATACTCACCGGTAGTGTGGCGTGCTCTATAGAATTGCCCTACAGAAGATAGATAAAGACAAAATTTAGGTCAAAGGTCGAGTATGACTCCCCCTGGGTTCAAATGTGAAGTCGGTCAACCACACTCTCTCGTATCAACTTGGCCAAACAGTTTACGATCAACACTGAAAGTCCCTCTGAGTGTCAAAGATGGTTTGTGGTCGGGTGAGAGAGGCCGAGCAAGAGAGTGTGACTGATGGGACTGTGGCTTTGGAGTCATTATCAGAGTTTTTGGCTATGAAGTTGATGGCAGGGTCGCTTCCACACACACAAACGGTCAGTTCTTGACCTTTCCTGAAAACCATCAGGAGTGTGAACTGGGGACATGGTGAGGTTGCGCAGATGGGGCTGAGTGAATCAGGATGCACTATGTTCACATGTAGAGCTGGAATGTGCTAACACAATAATATAAGCAGGATCGCTTGACTGTACATCTGTGGTTCACTGTTATGCGTGTATGTGTAGATGGAGAAAATGAGACATTCAGCCTGACCGTAACCTGACCTGGGGTCGTACAAATATTGCCCCCTGTTGGTGAAATTCAGCCAACAATGTGAGCGCTGTTTTGCAGTGGGCTGAAAGGGTCGTACTTCTCTCTTACTGAAAGCTTAGGAAAAAGAATTTAAGAGATTACAGGAGCGCAGGAAGCAGCATTACCGCCACCAGCCCTGGATCAGAGACAATCCCAGCCAGTCATGCCGACACGGAAAGGTGTTTGGTTGAGGCCCGTAGGAGGGAAAGCTCTTAAATACTTTGATTGTCAGAAATCCCCCATGACAGGGGTCAGGACCGGGCTGTGCCAGTGCTAGACTTCCTTCACTAAAGCTGAGACCTAAGGTCACGCCACACAATCTCTTTAACTCCATGTCAGCTGAGCCACACAGACGCTTGCAAGCCCAGAACACTCCAATCCTCTTACTTGCTACGACCCTACTTAGCTTTCTGTTGAAGTTCAAGTGTACTGTGTGAGGACAATCTTCTTTAAAGTGATGGAGTCAAATAGGAGATACGACTACAAGCTCAGGCAGAAAATGCTGGGTACAGGGATGGATTATGGCCCAGGCCAATAGAGCCTTAAATTATTATTAATTTATTGATGTATCTAAAACTGATGCAAATAAGCAACAGAGTATCGCAGTGCGTGTCTGAGAGCTATTTGCAAAAAAAGAAATTGCCTTGCTGTCACAGCAATAAGTGAAACTCCAAGTTGCAATTGCAGAATGTAAAGCCACAATTAAAAGATTCAATAACATCTTAACCCCCTGAAAACATCTTTAAGTTCTTGTATTGAACACTGTTTAAAAAAAAGCTTGTGCTGTATGCCCATCTTTTTCAAGGTAAGGTGAGTTTAAGATGGCGCCCAGGATCCACACAGAACCATAATCTCTCCTTGGCTGGGTACAAATAATATGCAATTAAAAAGCATTCATGTAATCTATGTCCAAAAAAATGTGTACGTGGACGAAATACTCACGGGCAGGTGAGTGAACACTGCAAAGGTGCTACAGAGGAAAGCAATGAGGTCACTCAGGTAGTCACTGGCCTGTCCACCTCCCTGTACTGCTGTCCAATCATAATCAGCCAGCTGCAAAAATTGGTCAATCTTTTGATTCAGGTTAGTGTAGATCTCCTCTTCAGCAGCATGCCTTGCGTCCTATACAAAGAGAAGCAAAGAATGAAGAAAGAAAGAGAGTACTAAACAGGCACAACATGCATGTTAAAAATACTAAATAATAATTCATACAATCAATGGGGGAAAGGGAATGACACCACAAGCTGCAGGTTCCTACCTTGAAGGTTGAGGTTCCATAGAGTTTGGTGGCATTAATGGTGTCAGGAGGCACGTTGGTTATGTTGGAGATGAACCCTTCTAGGTAGTGACAGGACTGCTCCAGGTGAGTGGTGTTGATGATGATCTGAACCAACTTTGGGAATCAAATGTGATTCAAATTAAGACTAATCCATTTTTGACTGATACAGCACAATTAGTTACTTGCGTAAAAAAGTGAAGATTTGTATGCTTTTTAACTATCAGACAGAACTACACTGAAAAAAAAAATGGTGTAGGATTTACTTGGAAACAATTTTCACTCAGAAACTGCTAGCAAATTTCACAAAGAATTACAAAGAAATGGCAGGTAACAATGCATTTAATGTGAAATTTTGAAGTAGAAAGACTGAAACAGAATTTTCTTGTAAACCCTATTTCAATAATCTTTGTTTTATAAAGGGTATGCATTGACGTCACTTTCCCGCCAGGACATGCCCCCTTAGCCGGACTGAGTGGCAAAACATCCTGCAACATGACAAGCTTTAGTAGGGGAATCTGCGATAACGGGAGTAAAACAAATGATTATCTGCTTAAATAAAAGTTGGACTCGACAGTGGTCCGTGGACATGTGGCCAGGAATCAGTTTTCTAACATTTTTATGTGCCAGGGAAATACATAAAGCAAAGCATGTGAACGCTGTATCTGCTGTATTACTATAAATACAAAATAGGTAGATCTAAATCCAGATGAACACTTAAATCATTGTTATATATTGTCATCAGGGTTTCCGTTGTCCGGTAATTACCGGACATTGGCCGGGAAAAAAATTAAATTTTTAATTTCCGACAAAATTAAATCTCTCCGGTCAAATTGTCCGATTAAAATTGCTAAATAATAACCGCCCCCCTAACACAATATGAATTTGAGAATAAGCCTAAAATGTATAAAGCAAAAATACACCGACCTTTGGCTATGTTATAAAGGAACAGGCTCTACCGTTTGAAAGTTATTAAACAACATCGCATGCTGCATTTCAAATAAAGCGCACGCCTAGAACGGCAGTAATATAGACCTAAACAACGAACGATTGAGTGAGACGTTTCAAATATGACCAGGCAGGCCCATTGATATTATTGGTAAAGTTGATAAATTGATAAAGTTGACGATGCAGACTCGCCATCTTCGCAGTAGTGAACGCGCCTATAGAGAGAAGTGTGCACGCGCCGACGCCTCCGTGTCCTGATTAGCCTATATTGTCCCCTATTTGCTTCTTATTTATTAATCAAGGCAAATTTGTTGATGAAACATTGATTAAAATTAATATACAATTTATACAAAACGAAATTTTCAAGCAAAAATAATATTCGAAGATCGCTGGGTTGATTATTATTCGAAAATCGCACCCACATGCACGCACACATGCATTAGACTACACACCAGAGCATGTGAGCAAAGCGGAGCGGTGTGACGCTTATTATAAGTTAAAAAACTTAAATATACGTTTCATATTTATAAATAATATAATGTTATTTTTTAATTTTTTTCATCTATGTTGATTAGGCTATATGAAAAGGGAAGCGCATGAGATGAGTAAGATAGGATCATAAGATGACCAATAGGCCTATATATCGGAAAACATTTGGAATGGGTCAGACATGATTTTGACCACTTATTTAGTTTTGTTTTGTAGAAAGCCTTTCTTTAAAGTTTATTTCGTTTTGTATATATTGTATCTACATTTTAATCAGTGTTTCATCAACAAATTTGCCTGGATTAATAAATAAGAATTTATTCATATGAAGTGTGCATTTCTCTCTCTAGGCGCGTTCACTACTGCGAAGATGGCGAGTCTGCATTGTCAACTTTATCAATTTATCAACAATTTAAATGTTTCATGCATAATCATTACTTTCGCCGGTTCTTTGTGGCAAGCTTTATTTCAGGTGTTGCGTGATATCTCTGCGCCCAAGTAGTGCTTCGCCTGTGTAGAGCAAGCATAGACAGTATAAGAAGTGGACAGAGCCATCTCATTGGAACTCAGTTGAGACAGTTGAAGCCCATTTTTAGCACTTCCGTTCCTGACGCGCAGACTCAAACCGACTAAGCTTGATGACGTGAGCAAGCTGTCTGACAGACATTAATCTTCTAGTAGCTGTGCGTGAAAATTGCCAACGTTAATCTTGCAGAGACGGGGATTGAGCAAAGAGTTATTTGGCGTGAGTGAGCAGGAGTAAGTATTCCGTTGCTTTTATGGACTCATTATCTATGGGCTTCTCCCTTGACGGGACGTCCCCCCGATTGCCTGCGAGCTTCTCCTCCTGTCTGTACGGTAATTTCTGTACAGCGCGACAGAGAATCGAGTGGTTATGACGCAATCGTTAGCCTATTTTTACTAAATCTGTTTCTACGGGGCTTATAACATAGAAGGTAATGGAGCCCTTTATACATTGTCGTGTTTCTTTAGAAATAAATAATGGACAAATGGAGTCTTTAAACGCCTCAGATGTAAAGTTATTCGCTGTCAAAGTGACGCCAAAATGAATGGGAGTCAATGGAAATGCTAACGCAAGTGAAGTTCTGCTACAACATGGCGGCACCCGGCCGGCTTCAACTTCCGGTCGATGGATTAGCCCCTTGAGAGCAAGGGGGTAATCCATCACCCCCTTGAGAGCAAGGGGGTAATCCATCAGCCGGAAGTTGAAGCTGCCTCCGGGGGCCGCCATTGTAGCTGGCTATCACCTGCTATTAGCATCCCATTGACTCCCATTCATTTTGGCGCTACTTTGACAGCGAATAACTTTACATCTGAGGCGTCCAAAGACTCCATTTGTCCATTATTTATTTCTAAAGAAACACGACAATGTATAAAAGGCTCCATTACTTTGTATCTTACGTTATGGCCCCGTAGAAGCCATTCTTGTAAAAATAGGCTAACGATTGCGTCATAACCACGGGACGCTCTGTCGCACAGTAGAGAAATTACCGTATAGACAGAAGTAGAAGCTCGTAGGCAATCGTTTACTGTCTATGAGGCAATCGGGTGGACATGGAGGCATAAAGTCAAGGGAGAAGCCCATAGATAGAGAGTTCATAAAAGCAACGGGACAAAATATTTCAACAACAGATTTGTTTCAGATTTCAATTCAGATTTGTCCCGGCACAGCTACTAGAAGGTCAGAACGGTTGCTCACGTGACAACTACGTCGTCAAGCTCAGTTTGAGCCTGCGCAGAACGCTTGGCTATCAGGAAGTGAGTGCCCATGTTGGGCTTCAACTCTCTCTGTTGAAATCAACGGGGTCGCTGTGTCCATTTCTTTTACTGTCTATGGTGTAGAGTCTCCGCAACGGCGATAGATTGAAACGCGCGTCCGAATGAAGATTGCGCAACTCGCGCAGCGCGTCGTCCATGCAACTGATAGCAGCGGACACGAGCGCTCAGCTTGATTTAAAAAACAACTGATTTTAGCGCTAGATCTCTAATTTAATAGCGAACTAAATGAATGATCTGCTAGTTAACTGGAGATGTTTTATTTATTTGTATTAGGTACATCCGTGCCTCAATGTTTCAAAAAGTGAATGCGTGTGAAACCATAGTAAAAAACAATTGGCGTTGATTGATGCCAATTGGACGTTCATGTTTTTTTCCGTCTATTTGAAAGTTAGGCTAATAATAACATGTTGCATTCTATACGGCCTGATTATGTCATTTTTTAAGTTACATAGCCTGCCTCCAGTTTTCCTCAACTTGACTAATTAAGAGGCGATATTTGACCGGCATATCATCAAAATGTCCGTTAAACGAAACCTCTGCCGGTCACTTTGACCGGCACCATTGTTTTCTAGTGGAAACTCTGATTGCCATATCACCCAGCCAGCCCTAAAACTTGTTAAAAGCACAAACACCAGATTCACACATACTCCATTTGCAGTACGTTTGCGGTGCGGTGCAGTACGTATGTGATGCAGGAGCAGCACACGCTTATTGTGCTTTCACATATTCCGCTTTTGCAGTGCGCAACTGATCCGCAGCTGTATACCACAAACACAACATTTATTTTTTAACATTTATTTTTTAACACAACATTTATGAATTTATTCATTATTTTTATTTAAAATCCAAAAGTTGTTACTGAAAATGTTTTGTCAGCATTGCGATTCTGTTTGTAGACAGTAGTTATACAATCTTTCATAGAAGTATTCAGGTTTAATCACACTAAATGTAAATAATGTATTATTCAATGCATTACTTCTATATAGATTTATAGGCCTATATTAGGTTACTCAAGCAACTAGCAAAACATTTAAATGTACTTTTCTTATGTTAAAATCACAAACACATTTTAAAATAAAACTTTTAAAAAACAGCCGACTCTCGCGCCTTTTCTTTTGTATTTAAATCTTTATACAAGAAATCCTGTGGGTCATAAAGAACTAGTTTTTCCACCTCCACAAAGAGAGGTCGCCTGGTTGAGGTAAGATGTAGTTTTCCTTGTTTTAGCCTGGGCAAAGAGCCATATGTTGACTGTGAAACTGTAGAGTTTAATAATATGCATTTATGGTGAAATTACTACATTTTCGTGCCAATCCATGTCTAATTTTATGTGAACAATGTGCTGTCACTTTAATTCAGCACAGCAAATCTCGATCGCTGCACTGCTGCAGACACTGTTCCTGGAATGCATTTCCGGACCGCATCAGTGAGCAGTGTGAACGCTCTAACCTGTTAACATGGGCACGAAAAAAATATGTACTGCAAACGGAGTAAGTGTGAACCTGGCATAATAGACATAACATTATGACGGTCTATAAAGGAGCTGGGAAACATCGTGTATTGTGAAGCGCGATACAAATAAATTTGATGAAATACAAAATTCAAGTTCAACAGCAACACTGCCACTTAGTCTTTTTGTAGGTGTAACTGCAGTGACATCATGTGCATACCCTCCATTTACAACTTTGGAAATATTTTTTTTTTTACAGTGTACATTAACGTTTAAAAGTTTGAGTAAGTAACTTTTCTTTTGGAAGGAAATTAAAATGTTTATTCAGCAAAGATGCATTAAATGTATCATAAGTGACGGTAAAGTGACGATTCTAATCAGTAGAATGATTTCTGAAGCATCATGTGACACTTGAGACTTGAGTAATGGCTGCTGAAAATTAGACTTTGCCATTACAGCATTAAATTACTTTTATAAATTATTTTAATACATTACAAAAAGAAAACAGTTATTTTAATATTGAACTACTACTATAAAACAACTATTTTTACTGTATTTTTGTTCAAATAAATTGGTCTTGGTGAGCTTAAGAGACTTTAAAAAAAATCCAAACTTTTTAGTGGTAGTGTTTATCACTTTGTAAACAATTTAAACAGTTACGTTGATAGATTAACATTTTTACATCTAACAGAGCTTTTCTTTGAGTCATAATGCAGCTATTTTTATCGGAACTTTGTAAAACCATGTGGTACCGTCATCAAAGAGAAAATCAATGTTTGTGGAAAAGATTCTAGAGGTATGAGTAATAACTAGCAAAAGCTCTATGTGGGAGTAATTCTAAAGGGGAAAGGGTACAGAGAGGAAGTCAAGGGTATGGTTAAAGGGACAGAGAGGGTTTGTCTGTGGGACGCAGACCTGGAGCAGCTCTACGTTAAGTTAGATGGTCTGTGGTGCAGTGTTTGAGGTCCACAGGCAGGGCAGGGCTGTCAGCAGCAAGGCGCTGATGCGCATTGGTGCTAATTGAGCCCAGACCTTTAGCTTGGACCCGCTCTTCCCTCCCTCTCTCCAGTCATGGTGCACCGCGCAGGGAGGGAAGCCTGATGCAGAGCCCGGGTCACACTTCCGCACCTCCACCAGATCCGGGGCAGGAGAGGGGGAGGAAGGAGCTTGACATCTGATCTTGTGTGTGTGTGTGTGTGTGTGTGTGTGTGTAATGGTAGTAGTAAGACTAGACTTTGCTATGCAAACTACCTGAAATCAATAATAAAGCCTTTGCTTTTTCAAAATACAACACTGAATGTCTTTCTTTCTTCCTCTGCTATTCTTTCATCATTTTCTCATCAGTGGCACCCATCTGAACAGAACACATCTGGATTTGAGGGGTTATAAACAGACCTGACTGCAAGCAGAATCAGCAGGTCGGAGAAGAAACTAACCACATTTGAGCGACAAACACGGGGAGAGTAAAGCAGGGATGGAGTGAGAGCAAAGAGGGGGAAAAAAGACACATGCTACTACCAGCCAGTGACAGGTCATTTTATCTGCTGTCACTGTTGCGAACAATCCGCCTCAGATTGGGCTTTGACCAGAAATGTTGTTTAGATATAGCAACTTTTATATAAAACAACTTTTATGGGTTGTTTCATTAATAATAATGAAAAGCTGCTGAGTCTGATCATCAATGTAGTTTTTTTTTTTTTTTGTGAGCGCTTCTTTGCAGGAAGACAATAGACCGGATAAGATAATAACATGCTATAGCTTCCAAAATGTAATTCTTCAATTTCACATACAGTACATAGGCAGTTGTTTTATATATTTGAATGAAAAAATAAAAATGGCGGGTAATTAATATTCTATAGAAATAGTAATTAATAATCTGAGCGACTGGTATTCACCAAAACTGCAGTTGTTTCCCATCTTGAGTGAGACAAAAATGGTACTAAAGGGGTCTATCTACAAGATGTGGATATAATGTGACACAAGAACAGTTTTCCAGTGATGTCTAGCATCTTGAAAACTGAGAGTCCAGACAGAGACTCTCTGTTGAGGTTGGATTGAAACTGAGACAGCAAAGGACATCAATAAAGAACAACATAGATGTGTGCAAATAATCACAGACACAAATGGAAAAAAAATAAAAGAACCTCACCTCTGCCAGTCCTACGTTTTTCTTCTTTATGGCATACTGTAGGCAGTGGCTAAGGGTTCGTGTGAGCAGGAGATTTGTAGATTTACGGATCATGTCATCAATTTCTGTTGAGCTGAACGTGAAAATTCATCTAATTAGGAATACAGTTATAAATGCACATATTTATGTCTATAATGCAAATCCATAACCACATAGTCAGGATTGGAGGAACATTGTGGACCAAGTGTAACGGTATGGGGTTGTGTCTTGCCCCACCAACACCAGATCTGTTATATCCCTTTTAAATTATATAAAATATCTTACATGTTTTCAGTAGGTCAGTAGTTTTTTTTTTTAGAAATAATACTTTAAGCAATAATGCAAATTTATCAGAAAACACAATAAAAAGACATTTATACTGTTACAAAAGTTTTCCATTTCAAATACATGCTGTTCTTTTAAACATTCTAATTATCAAAGAACCCTGAAAAAAAAATTATCGCGTTTTCCACAAAATTATAATAACGCACTAAATCAGCATATTAGATTGATTTCTAAAGGATCATGTAATGGCTGCTGAAAAGTTTTGCAGCTTTGCCATCAGTAAATTACATTTAAAAGTACATTAAAATAGAATTTTAATTATTTAAAATTGTAATAATATTTCACAATATTGCTGTTTTTCTATTTTATCAAATAATTCAAGCCTTGGTGAGCAAAAACATTAGAAATCTTCCTGACAAAAAAAACTTTTGAACTGTACAAATTCTGTAATTGCTACATTTTGTGCTACTGCTATCGTTGAACTCTTATAGCGGTGTAGCAGTGTGAATGATTTTCTTTAAGACCCAACATAAGGAGTGCAAAATCACAAGCAAGATGTTTTTGCAGTCGTTCTGAATCACAGAGTCCTATGTGTTTTAATCTCAGCCTTGATCCTCCACCTCCTCCGAGAGAAAAAAAAACCACAAAAGTGGAACCAAACAGATGCAAGATTCTAAGATGTACACACATGAACACTCACAGACATGGGCGGGATTTAAAACCACTCATCAGGGCCAGATAACACCCTCCAAAAACCAGAGAACAACCACACACAGATATTACGGTTTAAATCAACACAAGGGAAAAAGGGGGATATCACTTTTCTTTATTCTTCTTTTCAACAATGGGATGGGGAGGAGTAAAGGGGCTAATTTTGTCAGCCAGCGTTCCTGTACTTGTTAGTACGGCTGCAGCTGCATCTTCTGGTTCACAAATAATTAAAAAGAGAGTAAAAAGAAAGAAAGGGACAATATGTCTCAAACGTGTCCATCAATATGAGCCAAGGCCCAGGGTGCAATAGTTTTCCCCCTCGATCTGGGCAACAAACGCATTCCTCACAAATTACTAAATCGTCTCTCATTGTGCTGAGAAAAGCAGAGGAGGAATTTGAAAAACGTTCCTCTCCTCAGCGGGGGAAAAAACTCTGAGCTCTCTCCGCTGACTTGGCAAACAGGAGAGCTGAACGGAGCAGAGAGTTGGAGGTCAAAAAAAGGGAGAAATGGAGGTGCTATTCAACCACGAGATGCTGAGAAGTTGCTTGAAGACCTACATACAGATTATAATATTAGCATCAACTGTGATGCTGCAAATTCATGGTGACTGAGATATTTTTTGTTTTGTGAATTTTGTTCAAATTTCAGCAAAAGGAACGTTAGGTTACAGTCATCAGTTAATGGATTTTGAATACCTCAATAACACGGCTCTGATCTTGAACATTACAATATGGAAATGTTCCTAGCATTGAACCTCAACTAGGGAAAGGCCTGGCTTTAAATTGAGGACTAGAAAGCGAGGCATTGGTCTTTTGTGACAATCTGGAAACTGACAGTGTCTGGATGAATCCAAAAGCCTCTGGCTATTCCTCATTTTAAGAGGGAGGGGGCTGCAATACAGAAAGAGAAATTGTAGTCTGATTAAACACAGACGTTTTACTGGCATTTACGTTTGATTTATTCATCCACTCAACTCTCTCACTTATTCAGTGAAAATTAGGGTGGGAGTTTGGTCTGATAAACAATGATCTAAAAGAAACAGATGAGAAGGGAACCAACGGAGACTGAAAATGTCCAATTAACTTCATTAGAAAAAGAGAAACTAAACAGAAGAAGAACGCAAGACAGATACGGCTCCCTTCGGTTAGCACAGAACATATGTTTATTAGCTATTCAACCATCACAAAGAGTAACGTTACAGCTAGCTTCAACTCAAGGGTAACTTCAGGTTAATATGGTAAATGCACATTTGTAAAGCGGCTCTCATGAGGGAGGTCTAAAGTTTGCTGGACATGCATTGGGGGAGTCAAATACATTCCTGACGTCTGGTCTCCAGGCACCTGCACATGGACTTGAGCCCCTTACCTCCCCCTCTGACCACATCTCATCTCAATATTAGTAGAGGGAGACCACAAGGACTAATTGCCTCCGGTAGACTAGTCTGGGTAGTATGCAGAGCTGTTCTTTTGCTCCTTTGGTGTGTCAATCATAGGTTTCCGTTACCAATAGCAACAGGCTTTTTCTTCTCTACACCCTTGCATACATACACTACACACATACCCAGCATCCTAACCCCACCATCTGAGACCTCTGGTTGAACGCCACCTGGCCGCCTCTTGCCCTCTTACTCAATTGTGCTTGTGCTAATAGAGATCCATTTTTACAAATATGTCAAATACGAAAAAATCCAGTGAGTCGAGCCATTATTTGACAGTATTCTTAAATTAGCTGTGTGTACGGGGGATTTTGGCTTGATCTGGAGCCCTTGGACCCCACACGCCGAGGCACGGACTACTGCGAGCGCAGCCAAAGGAGGTCAAATGTTTATTGTTGAATTTTAACTGACATTTGAGCACGGGGACCGGCCACGTTCTGAAAACCACATAGGACATGACTGGTGGAAGTGAGGAGGCAGTGAGTAGCCAAAGTCTTGGTAGGGGTCCCAATAAAACTGAGACAGCTTTCTCTGCCAACATCCATACAGAATTATATATGACACGGACACCTTTAAAACACAATACAAATGCTAAATCCAAAAAGGCTCCTTTTTGATTATTATTCCCACAAGAGTCTAAAAGCCAATGTTTGGATTTTACCACTAAGTAAAGGATAATATTTAGTGATCATTATACAAAAATATTTGACTGCAGAATGCCAAAACTGATCAGACAAAATCAAGCATTCTAGAGAACAGTGTAATAAATTACTTTTGATTATGTTCTGTATATTTTTCCATCTAATTCAAGGCTGTATCATTTATAATCGATGACCAGATTGGACAAAATGCTAGCTTACTGTGTGGAGGCGAGCACATGGAACTTAGTGATTTACTCATTTCATTCACCAGTATGAATACCTGTAGATTCAATAATTTCATGTAATCATCCTGCAGGCGGGATTGGACTGAGCCCAATATTTTGACACCTATGACATAAACCAAGCAGTTGCACTCAACGTCCATTGCAGCTACACTCTCTCCAGGATCTGGACAGTCTAGGAGAATTTAGCACGCACAGACTCCGTCAGACAGGAAAAAAGGTATTATTGCTCATTTAAAGTCATTCTTGCAGTGATTGTAGAATATATCTCCAAAAACAATACTTTCACAGCACAGGTAGTCCTGGACATGCAATCATTGCTTGAAATTAAGCCAATGAGTCGGGAAATACATTCGTCTTTTCTACTGTTATAATAGGCATCTTCTATCGGACCACTCTACAGGCGACACGGTTAAGAGTGTCTGGTTGGCTAGACAATGTCTCAGACACTAATCACTAATGATGATGATAATGGAGTAGTAATTTGGTAGGATGCCGGTTTCTACGTGTTCTCTGTCCTGAAACATGTTCCCTCATTTCCTTAGTAAACCTCTAAACTGCAACAACTACACAAACACGCACACAAGAATTAGGATATCCAACTGAGACATCCGCTTCTAAAGTAACCAGACCTGACGAGGCACTCAAAGAAAGAGCCAGAGACAGGGAACATCAAACGATCACAACTCAGAGGACTCGTCTTAGTGCGTAGCTCAATCAGAAGGAGGAAGACGGAAATGCCAACGACAGTTCTACAGACAGTGACCTTTAGCCTCGACCCCTTGACCTACTGTTCCATTCAGGGTATTAGGAGAAGCGATGAGATATCAGATCGCAACACAACGTGACTGAGGTTAAGGGGTGGTTGGGAGATGAATGCTTAAAGATTTTAAAAGGTTCATTCCTAAACTGAGGTGACACAGCAATGAAAGCTAAATTTTTTTGTATTTTACGGTGCACTATGGAAAAAAATTATTGGATAAAAGCATCAAAGACGATGTAAACTATATGTCCAAATTAAAGACATGTCTAAAATAATTAGTGAGATGAAGGCCCATGAACAAATACTATAACAATAACTACAATAATAACTATATTAGTGTCCACACCAATGGCCATAGCCAGATAAGAGGCCACCGAATTCCAGACCTCGGTAAATTTTTCATATTTAAAAATAACATTTGAATTTCTCTGAATGACTAATTGGCAGTTTAAAACTCCTCCTATGCCTGCATGTATAATTCAGTTTAGACAGTTTGCTAGATTGTTTAGTGTTAGTTGTTAAGAAAATGATGATGACGGGGCTTGAGAGAAAGTTGTGAGTGAGGGCTCGGGTGCAGCCAAAAAAGGCCCATAGACAGTGCGGGCAGGTCGTTGGTGAAAGGATACCACATTCAGTAAGAAAACGCAATGATAATCATGGTATTATCTGTAAGAAACTGTATCAACGCTATCTAAAACAGTAGCATAATAACACAAGTACACTGATCTGTAGAACAAGTAGGTTATAAGAATGAAATATGCCAAATATGCAAACACTGGCCATGAAGAAGGCTATATGCTATTTCACAATATGCTATAGTATTTAACCTTTCACAAAGTTATACTAAAATTCATACTGTAAGAGCACGTACAACGTTATCATTACTTATCCATACAGCAATGCTTATTAATGAAAACTATTACAGTAATAAGTACTGTTGCTTGAATAAACAGCAAAAAAATTAATTATTACCTAGCCTATGGACTATGGTAAAGTATTAGCAAATTGTGATACAATAAATAAGGTCTAATTTAACAATGTCTATCCCCCAAAAACAGACAGAACGGCAAAAAGGGTCTGACTAAATACATTAGTGCAATTGTAGGCGTTATTATTGGACAATTCTTAACAAAATCTCACTTATTTCCAAACACTGGTTATGGCCATGTCCACACCAAAGGATAAATGTTATGATTAAGTGCTCTGTAAACATACACTTTGGTTTAAATGTTTGGGGTCAGTACACTTTTTTAAAAATGTTTTTCTTTACTGTTTTTGAGTGTTTTATGTTTTCCATAGCTGCATTTTTTTTTTAAAATCAAAAATACAGTAAAAACTGTAATATTGTCAAATATTATTACAGTTTAAAATAACTGTTTTCTATTTGAATACATTTTAAAGTGTAATTTATTCCTGTGATAGAACAGCAACATTTTCAGAATCCATTACTCCAGTCTTCATTGTCACATTCTCACTTCTTTAATTAATAGAAAGTTCAAAAGAACAGCATTTATTTGAAATCAAAATAATGTGTGACATAATTGTCTTTAATGTCACCTTTTCACAATTGAATGTGTCCTTGCTGAATAAAAGGTAATGTGATTGCAGCACATACTTTAAAGTTGGATGGATTTTGATTGGCTGTGCCGTTACAATAGTGGACTCCAGAATCCTCGTAAGAGCATTTTTAAAATGTAATGGTTGAAGGTATTGTTCTTGGTGTGAACGGGTCTTAACTGATAATAAATTGAATAACTAGATTACACTGGTGCAATTCTATTCCCAAAGTCTGCTCCCTAAAACACTCCTGAATTAAAAATTTCGCCTCTGTCACCCATCAGATGAAAATTGTAAGTCTAATCATTCCCACTATTTGTGGTATCATTCATCTCCATAGCACAAATTGATTGGGATGAGCAAATCACTTAAAGGTTAACATATACAGGGTATCGTAAGCATCATGAGCAATAACTTGCCTTAATTCATTTTACTCTCTGACATTATATAACAGGTTGCTAAGCAGGTCTTTTATTGGGAAATCCACAAGTGCTGTTTTCACAACTGTTTGTTTTCTACACTTGTGAAATAGACTTCTCTTCTGAGAAATATCATAAAGGGAGATCATACCGAAGCAGCATTTCACAGAGCCATTTATTCTGTCCAACAGTCTGAAGACTGGGAATTCAGGGTAGGCCACACTAAACAGCTCGGCGCATCTGGCAACCTCATCAGTAATTCTAAGAACTCATAAACTGACCAGAGATCAGTCAACACTAGGAGAAATTCCTTGAAATAACACCCACTAGCACCAAGCACGCAATTAATTAGGAAAACACACAAAAACTGTTTGGTGCAGACAGAACTTCCTCTCTGAGGCTCAGCGGCTACTCTAGGGGATAGGCAAAGACAATGGGGCGGGTTTAGTGATTTCATAACAGAAGAATGAAAGGTTCAAAAAAGGCAGTTCAAAAATAGGTACGTAAACTGGCATCCAAGCAGCATGATTTGCTAATGAGAACATTTGGACAAAAGGGTTATATATGCAGGTGTGAAACAGATTAAAGTATGTTTGAACGCTCGTACCTAAGGTGCAAGTCCTCAGAGTATTTCAGGCAGGCGTAGATGAATTCTTTGATTTGGGAGTATACTTTAGGCACAAATTCAGAAAATGGCAGCTTCTTCGGAAAAGGCATCTGTTTAGAAACAAATATATATATATGAGTAAATTAATAAAAATAAAAAATAAAAATAAATCACAGTACATAGAGCAAGTGTTCTGGAGGGTTTATGAAATCAGAAATATAAACTAAAGTATGTGAATTATTCTTTAAATATTTATTTGAGCTATAAAGTCGAAATCGTTCATTTGATGTGGGACTACTTTTCTAGGGGGACACTTCTGGTTCTGGGGCTGTATAACAGAAACACTTTTTTTTTTTTTAAACATGATCATTTCACTTAAGAAATTATCTTTAGTCAAGAATTAAGATTGCTGTAATATATAATCCCTGGGATGTATTTTAACAGCTGCCTTGCCCTGTGTACTTCCATTGTAAGTGCTTTAAATAAAATATAAAAAATATTGACAATTCCCAACAAATGCTGTTAATAGAGCGCACCAGGAATTAAAAGAAAACACAAAGGCAGCCTTATTGCATGAAAAAGAACAGCTGCAAGTGCATGTATCACCAAGAATGGTAGCATCCTTTGATTACTACAACAGTATTGGGCAGTAGTTCTTGTTGACGTCAATGGGAGAATTCACATGTATGGCTTTGTTCAAGTATTTCAGAGGATGCGCATGTTAGCAATCAACTTCTTGGACAGCAGGAGGATATTTATGTCTTTGTTGAGACTGGAGGGTGTGTAACTGAGGGAATCTGTGAGAAAAATCTCTAGGATAAAAGCTTTCTTATGTGCCTAATGCTCACCTTCTCGAGCTCCGGATCCTGGAAGGGGAATTGGCCTGCGATCCGCTGGTACTCCTCAGGGGACGCCACGGGAATGGGGCTGTAGTTGTCCTGATCCAAGATTTGCCTAACCAACAGAATAAGTGTGAGGGGAAAAGACCTGACTTCACAGATGAACTGATCATAAACCTGAGGACAACAGCAGGATATTTAAGAAGACTAAATAATCTAAAAACCATTTACTGGACTCATGAGCAGTGCAGTCTGTGTGTGTATTTGTGTAACTCAGTCAAGGCTAACACACACAACAGATCTTCATTGAATGCCTGTTCCCACAGTAATGATATTCTGAGTCATTCAAAGACTCCAGAGCATCATTCTTTAATGGAGTGAGTCAAGTGTCTCTGACAGGGATCTAAAAACGACTCCAGCAAGGTTACGACAACCTTTTCATGTCATCTGCTCTAAAGATTCAGCCAAGGAGCTTTAACAAAAAAAATTCAACAACGAATTGACAGTTTTTGGATTAAATGCTCTTTAAAGAATCCCCAGCACAAAAACATAGAAAATAGTTGTCCTTCAAGCAAAATGATTTAGTCATATGGGTGTAATTTGATCAGTGATTTTAGTTTAATAGTTTGGCCTGACAAAATTTCTCTGTCCTTCAACTGTCCTGTAATCCACAGCCTCTGCAAACATAAATCTCTGGGCACTACAGGTATAAGATTCAGGCAATTTCTTTAAATGGTACTTTGAAAGAGAGCATTAAAAGTGTATATTTCATAAAAAAAAATGGATGATTGATTAACCAAGTATTGAATTGCAGATCAGAACAAATGATGTACAGTAAACATAACCTGATTTAAACTGAACGTGCCTTACATTTGGGCATAACCCTATTAGTATAATTCCTTCAGTATGGATTTCTCAAGGGTCATAAGGTGATAACCAAATCATCATTATCCTTACTCAAATGAAAAACCGAGGCATCGAGATGAAGAAAACAGAGAAAAGGGAGAGAGAAAAAGAGAGGCAGAATGCACCTGAAGGACTGGTTCCACTTTTTCAGCAGTATCTCCCCATATTGATCCCTCATCTCCAGCAACATGTCAAACAACTGGTTTACTGGAAAACCATAACCCTGCAGAGAGAGAGAGGGGAAGAGAGGGGTGGATAATACCCAGCTCAGTTGAAAACAGGAAGCAATGCATGCAACTCTCATCAGAAATCAGAATGAAATAATGTTTATACATTTACATTTGTCCAAATTATTTCTTACAAAAAAATAACGCATTTAGTCATGTCCCCAAAACACGCATGTAAATTATTAAATAAGATATTTTCCTAAATAATTCAGGCTTGAAAACATACCTAAAAGTATTTGTGTTTTTGTCATACATACTTGCATTCAAAGACAATGAGAATGCAGGGATCTCAAGGCACATTACTTTTAACTTAAGACTGCATCGCAGTTGACTGAAGGCTAGTGATATGATGCATTATATCAAACGGAACAAACAATATACTGAACCTTTTTGTAATGTTTATTTAATGCTGTATTTGTTTATCACAATATTTGTTGTCACAAAAAAATTGTTATATGTGATTATTTACTTGATTTTTAAAAAAATCTAATCATTTGACACCCCTTGTTCTTAGACGTTATCCATATAAACAAGAGCACAACAGCTGTCTAAATGGTCAGGTACTTCCCCAACTCACCTGCAGTGTGTCTGCAAACAGCACTATGAGATTCTTCAGATCTAAAATCAGGTCTGGATCAGTGCAATAAGACTGCAAAGACACAAGAGAATGTGATGGATAACAGCAGAAGCAGAGGAAGGAAAGCACAGGGATTAAGATTACTTGGTATAAATGCTAAAAAAAAAATTAAAAAGAGAGAGAGAGAGAGAGAGAGAGAGAGAGAGAGAGAGAGAGAGAGAGAGAGAGAGAGAGATATTTTATGCAACGTTTATTTTAGCAAATAAGTATGTGACAATTGTATGTGTATCTGGGAATTTAACTGTTTGGTTTGTAGTCCTAAAACCCAGAGGAGGGTTGGTCTTTTTGAGCCGTAGGTTCCCTCCGAATTTTAATAGGTTTTAGAGAAGGGTTTTCAATTTATGAGTAAAATAAGGACAACTAATTTACCACCACACAGATGAGAGTTCATTTACGAGGACAACCGTGACAGTTCTTTTGCAGGAACTTGCAACTTACATTTTTAAAACCACAACCGTTTTAAACTTCACATTTGAGGTAATTTACACAACTGTTTAAGTTTGTAAGTCAGTAGGATTCTTATGGGTGGGGAGAAATTATTACTTTTATTCATCAAGGGTGCATAAAATTAAACAGTAAAACAATTTTAAACTAAGCACAAAAAAAATCAATTTCAAATAAATGCTGTTCTTTTTAAGTTTCTATTCATAAAAGAATCATGAAAAAAATATTTCTGAAGGATCATGCAGCACTGAACACTAGAGTAATGGCTGCTGAGAATTTAGGGGAAAAAACACAGGAAACTTCCTCACAGGAAAACAGGGGCCGGATTCAGGAAAATCTCCATGAAAAGAAGTTAAGAAAATTCTGAAGATAAATTCTAAAAAGTTCGAAAGAATTTTTCTAAGTGGTCTCAAGTAGTTCTCAAATATCATCTTAAGAATAAAATGACAGGCTTTGGTGTTATTTGATTGAAACGCAGGTATTGCTGAAGACTCGCTGAATGAAAAACACCTCAAAGCTCATCTTTTTACTGTAGTTGTCATTATAAGCATGCAGACTATTTTTGTTGCGACTGGCTTGACAGTCAGCGTCATGTTTTTAATGCACGGTGAAGTTACAATAGTTTTTTTTAAAAGAACCTGTCTCAAGATGATGCAGCGGTCTTTCCCATTCATTTGCTCCCCGTCTTTTGTGCTCTCTCTAGAGTGAATACGTCCTGTATCTGTGTACTGCCTTGCTAGTTCTAGCTAGAGTGAACGCATCAATATTTCACAATAATATAATGTTTGTACTGCATTTTTGATTAAATAAATACTGCCTTGGTGAACATAAGAGACTTTTCAAAAACATTTTTTTAAAATCTTACCGACTGCAAACTTTTGAACGGTAGTCTATGTTGTACAACGACATGTGAAAGCACTGTGTCTTCAAGTAATGGTCACCACCACCTTATTGTACTAGAAAACCACTATCCTAAAAACCCATCAGAAATTCCAGAGGGAAGTCATGGTGAATTAGCCTTCCAGGTTGGCCTTCAAATTGATGCCTTGACTAAACAGATTTACTGCTAGTCTTTTGGCTTGTCTTGCTCAGTGTGTGTTGAGTGTGTAGTGTGCAGACATACTGAATGAGTACGCAAGGCTGCAATAGTCTTGGAAAGAGCCAGCTCCCACAATTCTTCCACATAAGCCCTGTTTACCAGGCCCTGCGTGGTGTGCAAGATGTGGTCCTCCACTACAAAAAAACTACAGGACATATACAAAGAAAGGGTATGAAAGAGAAACAGTGAGTACTTTACAACATCATACTGTATGAAAACATTTCATTAAACTACATCATATCCCAAATGGTCACACTGAGGCTGTCCAGCACCCAAAGGAATCAGAGTCATCAAACAGGCCAGCAACATTCCCAAAAAAAATCCCAGACATCCCACTGTGCGAGTTCCCTGAGCCTTTTTTGTGCCATTTTGGATGTTTGCAAAAGCCTCCATTCCAGACACCGGCCTTCCCAATATTCCCATCCAGACACTCGGAAAAACATCAATCTGCCACTCCACATCTCCAGAACCATAAATTCTAAAGCTCAGAGAGTTTTCCGGCAGCACTGGGATGGAGAATCAGGAAGGGCCAGAGGAAAGGGAACGTTTGGCAAAAGGGAGGGTCTGAACACTGAGCCAATAAAAGGATTCAGCTGTTTTAATTCTCTCCTATATTAAAAACATTACACGCATGTATAATTGATTTTCAGTTAATTTGGCCATTCAAAATAAAACGTGCACTGCACTTACCCAACAATTTGATTGAAGTAGCGCCTGTATCCCTCTAACGTTTCATGCTGGAGACCACAGGAGAGAGGAAGGAGAGTTTATGAACATCAGTCAATTGAGCAGTCTACTATAATAGTTTTTATTATTATTATTGCTGAAATAAACTAGAATGACCCAAAACATTTGTATTTCATTTGCTTTAGAATTCATTATTTCTTTGAAAAAATGTTACCTCAATAAGTCATATTTCTGATCAAATAACAACATACCTGTACAATCACATTCAGCAAAGGTCTTCAACACTTCAATATACACTACCAGTCAAAAGTTAGTGGTTAGTAAAATTCTTTATTGTTTTTGAAAAAAAAATATTTTATGCTCACGGATACAAAAATACAGTAAAAACAGAACTGTTTTCCATTTTATTTATTATTAAAATCTAATTTTAAAAAAGTTGAAATAAAGTTGAATTTTCATCATCATTACACTAGTCTTCAGTGTCACATGATCCTTCAGAAAACCTTTCAATATGCTGATTTGGTGCTCAAGAAACTATTTTTCTTATTATCAATGTTGAAAACAAATATTTACACATTTTTTTGGAAACTGTGATAAAAAATTTTTTTAGGATTCTTTGAATAGAAAGTTCAAAAGAAAAGCATTTATTTGAAACAGAAAACTATTGTAACATTAAACATGTCTTTACTTTCGCTTTTGATCAATTATTATTTGTCCTTGCTGAATAAAAGTATGAATTTCTTTCAAATAAATCTTACTAACCCTAATCTTTTGAACAGTAGTGTATGAAGTATTTTGTAATGACATCAACATTAAGTGCAACTGAGCTATGGAACGATGGTTCAACCTCATTTTCCAATCGTTGTGCAAGCTAATGAAAACTCTATATAAACACATCTACACTAGAGGTCCCCATTTGAATTTTCAGGCCCTAAATTAACTATACATTGGTGTCAAGTTCATTGAATGCATCCATGTCAACTAAGTATACATTTGTATGTTATGTAGCACTAATGACTTACCACCTCACAGTTCCTGAGAGTTTATGTCAGGTGATGTTAGTGATTGGGGTGGTGCAGTGAATATTATAGGAGGGTGTCAGACAGACAGTTAGACACGACATGTTCTCAGGCGGTGTAAGGGCGTACCATGTTAGAGTGAGGCTGCAGCACGAGTCTGGCCTGTTTCCGCCGCTGCTTCCTGTAGTAGTTCTCAAACGTGTCCCGGGCACCCTGTGTAAGGCAGATACACATTCTAAGCACCTGAGTGAGAATATGGCTCTCAATTTGTGTGAACAGCTCTGTGACCACTGAGCATTAGTCATGTAAGACTTGTGTTTACACCAGAAAAGCTCAAGATGAAACAAGAGAGGCAAGGTAAAGACGGAAAGAAGCAGTTGACACAGGGAAACAGATTCCTACTTGTAGAGACCACGCTAAACTTACAAAAAAAAAGCATATCGGGTACTCTCTCTTCTAATCTTATAGTATGACTCAGAAAACAGTGCAGCAGAGGCTTGTGGTCTAAAAACAAAAGGCACTCATTCAGCCCTTAAAGATTTGACCCTTTTCCCAGAGTCCCAAAGTGCAGTTCCTGTCCACCTCACACAGACTGCTATCAAAGTCTATAAGGGCATGACACCAACACATGCACACACGTCCCAGTCAGAAAAGAGCGCAGAAACAACACAGACACGCACAGAGATAAAGACAGAAAACAGCAGCAATACGGTTACGACTTATCACTACCTGGTCAAGTGTCTCTAAATTTATCTAGACGGAGCGGGTGACTAACTCTTATAAAAGGATAATACAACAGGACAAGACTTGACCAGCTACAGCACTGCACGGCACACTAATAGAGCTTCTCTATGTCAATTGATTCCAATAGAGTTTGACAAATCTAAGCTAATAATGTGATACACTAAACAAATACATACCACACATGAAGTCGTGGTAGACATAAACATGGTCCCTTATTTGAATATAAGAAACAGGCAAATTCACATTTTAAATATGGCCGACGTTTCATAAAGAGGAATGAAAACACAATGAGGTCTGACTCACTTGCAAGGAAACTGCAAAAAAATAATCCAAATGATTTCTGGAAAGATCTCTAAAGAATGGATATATGTAAAACATCTTTGCCAACGAATATTGATGGTGTAAGCGTCAAAATTTAAGTCTATTTTATCTGTGATGTTAGGGCTTAATAATAAAGACAAAGCTAGCAAAATAAATATCATGGATAATTACCGGCCTATAGCTCTGGACAGTATTCTATCCAAGGTCCTGGTGAGGACTTAACTGAATAAGTTGGAACAGTTTGTCCTGACAACCAGTTTGGTTTTAAACCTAAACATGGCACAGATAGCATGTGTATTTTTGCTTTAAAAGGAGATTTTAGATTTGTATAACAGGCATAATTGCACAATTGTTATGTTTTACTGATGCCAGTAAAGCATTTGATCGTGTAAATCATAAAAAATCATTTTACAAGTTACACAACAGAGGAGTTCCCAAAATTCTAGTGAGAATTCTGGCTTTTTAGTATGCTCACAGTCAGTGCATGTAAAATGGGGTCTCTGTGTCTGTTCCATTCAATGTATGCAATGGAGTTAGACAGGGAAGCATTTTGTCCCCCTTTCTCTTTAATGTTTATATGGACGATTTATCGAAGCTGCTAAACAGGTTGTATGGTTGGTAACACTATCATCAACCACTTGATGTACGCCGACGATTTGGTGATTTTCTGTCCATATAGTGCTGGTCATCAACAGTTTGTGAGGGTTTACTCTCAATATGCCTCAGACTTTGACAATAAATACAATGCAAAGAAGAGTAATGTTATGATTGTTAGGAGTAGGGAGGACAGGAAACTATCATTTCCTGAATTTTCTGTCTGGTATTGTCCTTAAGGTTTGTGATGAGGCTAAATACTTAGGACATTATATAACCGATGGCCTGTCTGATGGTAGGGACATTTATAGACAGTGTCGTATGATCTATGCACAAGCTAATACGTTGACTTGCAAATTTGGTATGTGCTCAGGACCTGTGAAGACTGCAGTTTTTAGAGCATATTGTACCCCTATGTATAGTATACTGCCCATTTGTGGCGGCATTACAGAAAGAGCAGCATGCAGAAACTCAGTGTAGCATGTAATGATGGAATGAGGCTGCTGCTTAAGGTGCCACGATGGAGCAGTGCAAGCCAAATGTTTGTCACTGTTGGCGTGCCCACCTGTTCTGCTGTTCTGCGCAATATCATGTACAGATGTATGTGTAGGTTGTCAGACCCTGCAAACAGTATCATTTCAACACTGACAAACCCAGCCCTAAGTTCAGTCAGGTTCTTCTCCAGTATGTGGAACAATTGGCCCTTAGCCTATATGTAAACGTGATTTAAAAAAAAAAAAAAAAAAAAAATTTATTTGTCTGTGTTTGTTTGTGTTTTGGACCATGTGTGTCCTTAATAAAGCTTTGATTGATTGATTGATTGATTGATTGAATATACTGTAAACAAAAATACAGAAGAATGTAAAATGCTATAGTAAAAACCTGTTTATTGGTTAACTGCAAGTTAACATCACACAACATCACACTGCAAGTCATTTTACTGTAAAATACTCTCAAGTTTGTTTTTTGCAAGTATATACTATCCACTATCGCATTAATTAATCGCATTAATACAGTGAAAAATAGTCAAAGTACATTCCAAGAAGTCCCTGTGTGACACATGACATGACTATATATGAATAATTTTGTTTCTTCTTATGTTTTATAAGTAATGTGCATTAGGGTGTTTTGTGATATATTTTTCTGTAATTTATTAATATTTAATGCATTATTTTAGTGTCATGCATGTTAACTTGATGGTGTTTTGTCTTTATGTCTATGATCCTGTGCACCGTCTGTGTATGTTTTATAGACAGACCACTTACGATGAAAACGGATTCATAATGCAGCTTTCCATTTTACCACTTGTAATATTATGGTGGTTATAAGTACATTTTAAAGTACAAAGCAGAACTTGGTACTTCAAGTAGACTGGTATATTATCACTATATGGGCCCTATTTTAACGATCTAAAACGCAAGTGTCAAGCACAAAGCGCAAGTAACTTTGTGGGCGGATCTCGGCGCTGTTGCTATTTAACCGGCGGGATAAATGACTCTTGCGCTCGACGCAAATCTAAAAGGGGTTGTTCTGAAGTAGCTTCATAATTCATAGGTGTGGTTTGGGCGTAACGGGAAACAAACCAATAAGAGCGTCATATCATATTCCCTTTAAGAGCATGATGAACGAGGTGCGCTTGTTCCATGGCGCAATCCTATTATAACGGCGCATTTACCAGGCACGCTTCAGAATCGGTTCACAGCCGAGGAGATCGATGTTCTCGTCAGGGCCGTAAAAGAAAGAGAAGTGACATTGGGGATGGGACAAACCCACCCAAATTAGCTTCGGTTAAACATGCATATAATTATTTGGGTAAATGTGTAAGCTTTATGCCTATTTTTCCCATCGTCATGGACACAACAATGATTTCCCTCGTGTTTTAATATTTTTCCTTATAATAATGTATCATTTGCAAAAAGTAAAATGCATCTGTGTAGATGAGAGAATCATCTACAGTGTATGCGCGTTGTTCACACTCGCTATTTTAAGCGCGCATGCTTGGCCATAATACAATCTGAATGTACGCGCAACGCGCCACTGACTTTAGACTAGGTTTTATCTGGTCAGTGGCGCAATTGTTTACTGGAACTGCAAAATAGCACCAGGGATTTTTTGCGCCGGAACACGCCTCCTTTTTTGCGCTAATACCGGCCAGGGAGCGCAAGTTCATTCCCTAGTTTGCCGGCGTGCGTCTGTGGAGGGAAAAGTCCGCTTTGCACGGGTGCAAAATACGAATGATACATGCGTCGGTGTACAAAGCCAATTGCGCTGGGTGCAATTTAGGGCCCATTGTCACTTAATGAAATATACAGTTGCAAAATATGCAGGCACCAATATGCCATTCCGTAATAATGGAAACATTGTCACTGTGCTTTTTACAGTGAATTTCTGATTTAATGGGATATTTTTTACTTATTTACTCTACAGCGACAATAGTGATACTGAGACCCTTGACGGTTTGAACTTGCAATCATTCGGTTACCAAGCCCAAATAGTTTACAACTAGGCTACGCCACCCCAAGACCACCCAGATGTAATGATGTGAGAGGAAGAATAAGGTTTGAGAAATAAGAATTGAAGGAGAAAACAGCAGAAATGGAAAAAGCATTATACAAATTTCAAATTACTTCAGAACAACCTGAAACCTTTAATAACAACAGGGATCAAACATATACTATGCTTTGACCACAAAGGCCTTCAGAGTACAATGAAAGACAGAAGTTTGAACAATTCAGTGAGAAACACAAAAAGAAAGTATAAGAAAGTAACTTGTTCAACACTAAGTGCAACAACACACACACGCACACAAACCTTCTCTCTCACAAAAAGTGTTAGGAAGTCTGATTCATTTTACTAAGATGGTTCATTCATCAACTTATTTTAAAAAAAATGGATTCAGTGATTCATAGCCACTCGCTTTAAATTATGAGCAGCTGCAGCTTCAAAGTAGCTTCCCCAAAACTGAACATTGTGAACTATGGCAAAATGACTCCTGCACAATATACGGTCATTGATGACACAGACTCTTTGGAGCAGGATGTATATTACCTCAGAATCCTTAAAAAGAAATTTTGGAGAAGGAACAAAAAGGATGTTAGAGAACGATACTGTGTTCTGTGTGAAAGGAATTTAACTGAGTGTGTCCATCCTGTTGGCTATACAAACTTTTGTGCGGTTACTAGACTGAGAAGAGCAGGTCTACCAACTGCAGTCTAAACCCAGTTAATCAAGTCCAAATGCTCCATCTCATATAGATGTTCCTTAACCTAAACAGTCAAAATCAAAAGGAGAACAGTGCCAATATCAACTATCGTGGAAAGATTCATGCTAAAGTTCAGCTGAACTTCCCAACACAAAGGTCTAGTGCCTCTGATGCCTGGTTGTGCTTCTCTGGGTCAGAGAAGTAGGATGGAGGCCTGTTCTGTGGTTCTCCTTCTCAAGGGTTTCCTGCTGCAGCTGGCCCATCACAACCAGTCTCTGTTTTTACTGATCTGAACACAGACCAGAACTGTCAGAGAATTGAGACACTGTTCAGAGTTCCATCAGGAGCAAAGAGGAGGAGTTTGAGCTGGAAGTCGGTACAGGAGACTAACAGGAAAAGAAAGCCAGGAGGAATAGAATAGAATAGAATAGAGTAGAGATCTATGACTGTTTTACACTACAGTTCTACAGGAGCAAACAGAGGTAAGAGTACAAAGTGACCCCAGGAAATCTCCACCAGCCTCGGATTTCTGACACAGTATCACCATTAAATGTCTGCACTTGAGGTCATACGAGTTTCAGTTAAAAAGAAAAATGCCATTTCATTTTGGCTGTGTTCTCGCAATGTAAAAACAATACGAGGTTATGGTGAGTGCAAGACCTTAAGGCAAAGAGGTCACACTTTTAACAACTAAACTTAAATATTGCAGTCCACTGTTCTTTTAATTCCACCACTCCAGAGGGATAATCTTTTTCCTCTGTCCGTTTGAACTTTATTATCTTCAGATTCATAAAAATGTCAATTGTTTGATTGCAGTGTGAAGAAAAACTTAAAACACATTGTCTTCCATTTAAGTTTTTCAGCCAAACTTGACAAAAGAGCAGGCTGTACCCTCCAACGGGCACTCTGACCCCTCTCTTGTCCTGTTCTCTTTCGCCATCCTTATTCTTTCCCTCCCTCGGCTTGAATTTCCAACCAGAGTTCAACTTCCTGTTCCTCCGCAGCAGCTCCACACTTATAGTTCAAGGCCTCACAGTCATACTGTTTCACACACATGAAAAAAAAAAAAAGCCAAGGGACACCGTGGCCGGGTCACGGCCCCCTGGTATGAAGGAAACCCAGGTGAACCCCCTCAGCGCCTCCTGCCATCTGGAGTGCAGCCAGCTCAGGAGTCAGAACAGAACCAAAAAAGCGCCATTGTACATCTTCAAGACCACGGTCATGAACAAATTCTATATTTGACTTGTTTCCCTCCCTTCCATAAGGGTCTCTCTGTCCCTCTCACTCTTTACAGTAGCATGTAGCAGTGTTTACATGATGTTTGTTTAAATTATCTGGAGTGATGTCACACTAAGGCCAATCGCCATATGAACATACAACAGTCTCAACAACTTCCTTCCTGTGGGGGCGTTCAGGCCACTGAATATACAGTGAATGGGAAGTATCTGCCATAGGTGCATTGAAACAGGCGTTCATGAGTTTGTACTCACCGTTTAAACAAAAAAGTTCTTCAGGGACATATAAAGTGCAATTCTGATTGTTTTTGTATAAGTAAGCATTGTGATTTCCCAGGGTCTGAGGTGACTCGAGGGTCACCAGGGAAAGGAAACACAAAAACTCTAACATTCCTTCTTAAAAAGAAACACATCGACTCACTTATCGGGTCTCTTTTCTCATTTGTTTGCTTTTTTTCCTATAACCTCAAAACAGTGTGTGTGTCTCCCTTCTATGACTCCCTGGTCACTTTCAAACAACTCTCGTCCTTTACTTTTCCTCCCTTTCCTTTGCGTCCTCAGACGGCTCCTAGACCGGGTTTCCAGAGCAGCTTTGGACTGGTCAAAAAAAGGGCAAGACATGAACTCTAAAGGTTTCCTCTCTACCCCGAACCCCCAGCATGCCATTCTCACCAGCTTCCATTACAAAGACTATTGTAGTAATGACAGTCCATCTGCTCGCACATGAAATTTACAGGCCGGAGGGTCATAAAAGTGACATTCCACCAACTCAAACAATTCAAGAGTCTTCATGAGGAACTGTCAGCACATACACTCCGAAAACAAACACGTGCGCCCTCGTGTAAAAAAAAACAGACGTACCCACCCAAGCACGTAGACTTCTTGGTCGTATTTTGAAGCATACCACAAGAAAATAGTTTAAAGACTCTTGACTCCACAAATGTGCGTGTCTATCAAGTTAATAGTTAATAAATTAACACTGATGCATTTTTCATTACTTGTGACTGCGTCAAATGAAATATTTGTTTGTGCAGGGAACATTCCAGGGTACTTTTGGGTGGAGAACTTGCTGGTAAACTATAGACCAGTTTCCACTGGCAAATTTCAAAGTCATTGACAACCAACTGGTGCTAGCCACTTAGATTTAAAATGACCAGCCAGCACGGATTAACAGATGTACTTATCATAAAGAGATAATAAATCAGTGTAGGGTTGCATGATTTTGACCAAAATATCTTATTGTGATTATTTGGTCAAATACTGCGATTTTGTGATATTATAAACATCTAATATCAAGATATTCCCCATTGGGATTTGAACTTTATTTCACTTAATCACGCAGCTATACATAAAATAAAAAATATTTATACATTTACTATCATTCAAAAGTTTAGGGTCAGTAATATTTCGTAATGCTTTTAAAAGGAAGTCTCTTATGCTTACTAAGGCAGCACTTAATATTGTAAAATATTACTAGTGCTACAATTTAAAATTACTGTTTTCTATTGTAATATAGTAGTCTAATATGCTGACTTTGTGCTCAAGAAACATTTCTTATTATTATCAACTTTGAAAACAGTTAACATGGCAAAAGTGATACATTTTTTAAGGGTTATTAGATGAACAGAAAATTCAAATATTTTTTTGTAACAATTTAGAAGTATTTACTGTCACTTTTGATCAAAATTAATGCATCCTCGCTAAATAAAAGTATTAATTTCTTTCCAAATAAATTCTTACCGACCCCAAACTTTTGAACGGTAGAGTAAAAAAGCTCACTCATAAAACGGTAACATTAACACATGAAATTTTAAATGACCAACTTCTCATACACACACTAAAATACACATCCACATTTTCAGGAACATATGCTGAAAAAACTCAAGATATTCTCTACCTGAGAATAGCACTGCAACAAAAGGCCTTGGGGAACAAAGTGAGGGTTATATATGCAAGCGTGAGGGCCAGCATAGAGATCGTTTTCTGATTAAAAATATCAGACAAGTCAAACCTGAAATAAAACAGAATGCAAATGAGAAATACTCACCAATACAGTGTAGATGTGTAAACAGCGAAACACAGGAGAGAAGTCCACCAAGTCCTGCGCACCAGGAACCTGCAATAAAATACAGTCAGTGAGAGACACATAGTATCCTATACAAATACCCAGCACTAAAGCTGGAAGTCAATAAGGAAAAGCAACATTAAAGATATTTTTCAACTAGAATTTCTTTAGATTTTCAAAGGTCATGAAAAATGAAAGTAGTGTAAAATGAATGTAGTTTTACCACATTTAACTTATCACATTCTCTTTATTTCCCTTTGACTTGAGCCACCCTTGACCCTACCAGTATAGGAAAGACTCTTTTTCCAAAAGTAACCCAAACAAATGGCCAACTGAACAATACCAGCTTTGATCTGGTGCCCGCAAAATAGCAACCAGGGACATTCAAACCTGACTACTTCATGGCACCACCAACAATTAAACCAGAGAATGTGGAAAAAACAATTCAGTCTTGATGCACCACTGGGACAGAGCTGGAAATGTCTGCCCGGTTCAAGGATGGCGTGTTCACACCAACATAAAGAGTTTACAGACAGGACGAAGGGGCGCAAAGGGACATCGCTCAGGTGGCAAGGGGTCATTAAACGGGCACTGATCTGCATCTTTGGATACAACCGTTTCTCAGGAAGCCCCTGAGCACAGAGATTCAAGCAGATTAAAGCCTGGCACAAGCAGTGCTTCTCAAACAGGAGCCAGAAGAGGAAAACATGATGACGCACAGGCTGATTGAAGCTTGGAGGGAAGGGAAGGGGGAAAGGTCAAACCAGAGGGCAAAAAGCATTAACCTTACCAGGGTCAGTTGAAGGTAAAATGTTCACTTATGGAACTATTGTGGAAATGTTTATGCTGATCAAACTGATATCAAAATAGTATAGTTAGCAATGTTGCACCATCATGGAACTGGGTAAGACATTAGGTAAAGATGGTAACTTTAGTCAAAAATTACATTAACGTTTATTTAGCAAGTAACTTTTTGTTAGCTGCTTTGATATGAAAGTGTCTGCTTAGCATAACGCAAACGGAAAACAAAAGTCCATCGCGAGTGCTTTAGTACAAACACAACAAGTGTCAATCTTGTGTTGCTTCAGTTTGAGCAAGTGAAAATACCATGTCAAAACAAGAAAAAGACACACACGTTTCGGAGTACATCAAAATAAAATCAACGTGAACTACACAACAAACACTGACTGTCTAGATTGTGTCATTTTAATTTGTCTCCAAGGACATAAGCGAGGATCATCCTTTCGCTCCGTGGCGGTGGTAGCTACAGCTGGGGAGCACGTCTTGCATGCTCCACACGTCTCACATTGCTGCCTCAGAGGAGCAGGGCAGGCCTAATGACACTAAACGACTGCGGAGCTGAGACGCTCCATTAAGAAAGGGAGGGGATCCTGGACTGGGCAGGCAGCCCAACAGCAAGTCCATAGGGATATTAAAGTAAAGCAGGAGAAAGGGACTGATGGAGAGGGACGAAAACAGAGACAGAGAAACTGGGATTTAGAGTCAATATTCAGATTCCATTTTAAAAAAAAATTAACTAAATGATTTTCATGACTTTAGATTTTTGGCTAATGTAGATAGAACACTGTACTAAAAAACTGTGACAGTGTTTTCCAGATCTAAGTTATTCATACAAAGGTTGAATCAGTTGGAGTGGTTACTGAATTAACCTGACTCACGTACTGAGTGATTCATTTCATCATGTTTAACGGAAATGAACCAAGAACCATTACTGTGTTTTGTGGCTGGTTGTTTATTTGAATGAGTGTAGAAACATTTTTGATTTAAAAAAATCTAATAATTTAAATCCATCTCAAACATATTAAAAGAATAGTTAGCGGAATCACTAATAGGAATCAGAACCAGATTGGTTACATTCATTATGATTCCCACCCAAATGAAGGACTGACAGAAGGAAAAAGAGCAAGAACAGAGAATAATACCCAAAGTCACATTTGAATGAAGAACTCTCTTTTTTTCTGGTTTCATAAAGTGCCTGTTCACAAAAGTAGACTAAAAACAACGTGCTAAAAGCTTAAAATAAATTGAAATGCTTAACTGCTGAGGTGAATCTTTCCTCTCTCACCTCATCCTCCTCTTCATACTCCACATCCAATATCCCAGAATCCTGTTCTGAGAAGGGGTTGCTTTCAGTTCTGTCCACCTCTGTGCCTGAGCATGCTTCCTTCCGTATCCTCCGTCCACTCGCTGACCGCTGCTTTGATGTCACGGCATTATCACGAGCGATCTGCACCTGTGCCTAGAAAACAAACACAGCAACATGTGAAGAGGAACATATGGTAGGACTTTCATTTTTTTTCATTTAATTATTTATTTTTACACCAAAAAGATTGATAGATAGATAGATAACATTTGTTTGTTTTTTTAAAAGAATCCAAATGAAATTTGAATACATTTTAAATTACAAATAAAAAGTTTTTTTTCTCATGACGAGAGAGAGAGAGAGAGAGAGAGAGAGAGAGAGAGAGAGAGAGAGAGAGAGAGAGAGAGAGAGAGAGAGAGAGAGAGAGAGAGAGAGAGAGAGAGAGAGAGAGAGAGAGAGAGAGAGAGAGAGAATTTTAGTATCCCACATGCATTCAAGAAGGAACAAAGACTGAACTTATGTCATCAGTTTCCATGTGACATTCTAAATCAATAGCGATACTGTTCTACATATTGACAAAGTACGTCTTTTCCCATTAGTGCCAACAAAGGGAAAGGCACCTGTGAAAGGATTTCCCATAAGCAAAACGTGAGAGTTCAGATGAGATTTTCCTCAATAGAACACTATTCTTTAACAGCGTCTGACGTCAAGACTAAGTTCAATGCGCACACAACCTTCTCCTTACAGACCTCTCAAGTTATTGAGTGGGGAGCCAGATTCGGGCATGGAGGGCTCTTGAAGCAGACAACAACAAAAAAAATGCCTCTTTATTGAAAAAAGAAAACTCCATAACTCCAAAACGCCATTAGGACGAGAGAACCGAAACCAAGCAGCGACAATAGGATACAAAGGGGATGTTGTGGGCTTCCTGGTGGTTCCACAAAAAGGATTCAAGACAACACTGTTTTTTCTGATTATTCTTCTCTGAGAATGAGAAGGTCCAAATGAGCTTATTAGACTACGCAAAGATTGAGCTCTCTGGTAGAGTCATGTGCGTCATAGCAAGAGTATATCGGATGGTGGCACATGAAGAGACCTTTGCAACTCAAGAATTCCTTCCCATGAAGAGCATCAGATTTAAAGGACTTCTTTACAGGAATTGTTGTGAACATTTCAACCCAGTCTCTTAAAGCAGACAAAAAAGGTAATTGAGAGAAAACTTCAACACCATGAGGACAAAGGAATTGAAAGCAAATAGCAACAATAGGATGCAAGGTGGATGTTGTGGCTGCTTGATGTTTTCACAAAACCAACACTTTATTCTTCTCTGAGAATGAGAAGGTCTAAATGCACTAATTGGACTATGTAAAGATTGAGCATTGTCATTGTATTCATCATTGCATTGTGCTCTACTTATTTCTTTAGACATGTCTGAAGTTCTAGTCCTCTTCTAATCTCTAGTAGAGGCATGTGCGTCATAGCGAGGGTGTATCGGATGCAGTATGTGACAGTAGTGTGTTGTCTATTGTGCTTCATTGGCTGTTACGTCCCACTCGTTCAGTTCGGTCCTCTCATCTTAAGTAGAGGCATTCGCGTCAGAGTGATGGGGTACTGGAAGGCAAACAAAAAGAAACAAACAAACACTGCAAAAATTCCTTTCCTTCAGTGGCCCCATGAAGTGCTCCATTATTAAGAACTTTTGAATTTCACAGTGAAAGACATATTAGTTAGCCACAGCTGCAATTTCAGGATTTAAACTAGAATGTGACTATGTTAATGCAGTGAAGAAACATGCCAAATAAGACAAGAAAAAGATTATTCCTTTTGAAAAATTAAAGGTGAAAATATCTTTAGTTGTTAAAAAGTTATGCAGTTTGTTGTACAGCACTTATTCCCTTCAGAAATATTTGTAATTGTGAATAGGGTGCAATAGAAGTAAAAATCCCATCCACGTGTGTATACGAGTCAGAGTCAATGACAAATTTCCACATTAGTAGACAATATAGTTTAATCAATCAATCATTCATAGTTTATTTTTGGTTTTCAGCTAAACGAAAACTTTAATATCAGTTTCTGTAAAATAAGTAATTTTGGTGCATCTCTACCTCAAACAGATTGAACTTTATGCTTATAAAAAATATCTATACATCTGTAGTTTTATATTGTACGGTTGTCTTTTTATTCAGATGTATCATTTGTTTCATGGGCTGTATAATCCATTTCTGCACACAAAAAAAAACACAGTACTGGTACCTTTTTCTTCGATGCCCCTATTATGCTTTTTCAAATATTACCTTTCATGCAGTGTGTAATGTAGCTGTCTGTGAAAGTAAACAATCTGCAAAGTTGTGAAGCCGAAAGTGCACGATAAATAAAGTTATTGTCTCTCAAAAGGAAGAATCGACTCTGAACCGGCTAAACGATTCGTCAGGAATTCCAATCCTACTTCCGTTGCGGCTACACGTCACTGGGTAACATATTTGCCTAATGCGCACCTGTTGTCCGCCCGCCAACAACTTGACTAGCCCTCAAACGCTGTAACTGGTGTACATGTCAATAAGACGCCGCTGCGAAAGCAAATTCTCATTCACGTTAGTGCTCGGCTAACGTATGTGCTGTTATGATACAGTTAATGATACAGTTCCCGCATGTGCACCGCAATAAATTAGAAATATACACATTGGTTTGTTGATGGACATACACTTCTTAATGCTGATGGTGAGGAATTACAGTTGCAACATCTCATGATGAACGACAAACTGAGTAGTGTATCACTAAGAAACGTCCTGATCAAGTCATCCTTGCGATGGAGGATTGGGTTGAATAACTAGTTATGTTTCTAGTTATGTTCTAGTAATGTTTCACCATTGGACTTGCACTCGAATAAATATGGTTAAATCGACGCCATCATTACTGTGCACATTGTAAAGACAATCTCTAAGTTTTAGGAAGCCTCCGGAGTTGGAATTCAATGATGGTAATGGGCGTTTTGTTTCCGACATGTGTTGTAAGCGGTAGACCAACAGACTTGGCCATCTGGCCAATCAGAGTAGAGTAGGCTCACGTAAATGAGGGATTTAGAGAGACTGATTCATCAGACAAGTCGTTTGAGAATCATTGAAAAATGTGGTGATGTGCAATGTATATTATGAGAAAATGAAAGTGTTTTTTGACCATTGGTCCATGTAAACCTGCTGTTGGAGACCTCTAAAACAAAATTAGGAATCTTTAAAATAGCATAATTATAATTTAGCATAAATAGGCACTTTAATATTCCTTTGGAGAAAAAGAATGAAATACTTGTATTTCATAAACACTTTTTACCGTACTGGTTGAAACCCTCCTGATCACATCCTGAAAGCAATCAATAATAGACGTGGTATAAATATATTTACAAAAAAAAAAAAACTTATTAGGTCTGCACAGCTGCCAGCTGGCCCGTACGGATCGATCAACTATGATCCCTATACTTGACATTGCGCATCCTGCGATATCAAGACAGATGCGCACATCACGATATCGATGCTAAAACAATGTATCGTGCAGCCCTGGAACATATATCTTCTGTGGAAATCTCAGGACCAAACATTTTGGTCCAAATGCAATGATAGGACGTCGTACCTGCCTGTGAACAAATGTATTTCCATTCCTCCGCGCACTCTGCCTGTGCAGACATCACGCGTTATCAGAGCTTTCTGTAAGGCAGACAGACGAGTCACAAAGCGCAAGTTGTAGACAGACAATCACTGAGCGCCACAAACAAACAGCAGCTGCCCTTTTACAGTTCCTCCTGAAACAAACAACGAGCTTATGCTGCGTTTACACCATAAGTACCGTAATTACGAGATGGCAACCCATGACGTTCTACCCGGAGCTGTTCACGTCCTCAGACTCGGATTTATGCCTTTCAATGTCAACACTATCAATGCCGAAATGAATCTGCAGCTGTCAGGTGTTACAAGTCAGAGCTCTGTAAGTTGTTTAAATTCATTATTATTGTAATGTTATGTGCTTTTGAGACGCCTTGCCGACACTGCTCTGGCAGTATGCGTTTATGTGTTTTGCAGGAGGCGTCGCTTTGGGGAGCGCTTGAAGGGATGAAGGGATCTAATGCTTTCAAAGCTAGCTTGCTATTGCTAGCCTCTCCGAAATTGCCTACCCTTCCTTTAAGGAGCCTAGACTGCTAAAACAAAGATTATTTTCAACAGGTTTCCCCGAACACTGCAGCTTTGTTAAATGTTCAATCATATACATTTGCATAATTTACTTATAGTCCTGAACAGAATTTTTAACATTCATATGATTGTCTGTGGCAAATAATGATGTTTGGCAAAAGGTGATGATTTCCAAATAACTAGATATAACCAACCTCTCCCTAAAATATAAAGCAGAAGACAATGAAGCAAATATTTTAAGAGTCATTCTGAAGATGGTGAAAACATTTGTCATATAATTGTATAAACATGCTCCTTCAGAGAAAATATACAAATAGGGGTGTAAAATGGAACAAAACTTGAATAAAATTGGGCTAAGAAATAGAAGTGACTGACAGAACAAAAGGGGAATGGGGAGGGGGGGGGGTGTTCAAAAGAAAGGGAAGATTAAAATTCAAGCTTGAGGTCTATAACATAATCTTTGACTAACCGCTTCTCTATACTCAACATACACACAGACTCTCTGTGCTCGACAGCTTACAATGGAGCCATTATTACAGCACTGGATCTCCCAATATATTTATTTTCAGATCATTTGTTAGTGGAATTAAAACAATCACAGGCTCACAGAGACTGGGCCTAATTTCCAGTGGAATAGGAACCAGTCTGCAAGTCTGGATCACAGAGCCCCTAGACAAATAACCTTCTGTTATTAGCGGTTCACTCGTGCGCTTACTCGCTCATCTGGAGTCGGGGATGGAAGAATGGAGCGGGGAGGAGGGAATGAGAGACATCCAAAGCTCAAGAGAAGCCATCTCTGCTGTGGAAAGGGAAGTGGATCCACTTGAGGTTGAGGGTCTTACCCTGAAACAACCGATTTATTGCCCAAAGGTATTTGGCGGTGGTAGTGATGCCATCTGTCTTGTGACGTCAGCCTAAAGAATGTGGAAACTTCAAGTATTTCTCCACACAACATTAACAATGTGGCCATAATATGCAGAG